AAGTCTAGTTCCTTGCCTTAGTTTATAAACCTTATTTGGTGCTAATCAGTAAGTGTGTATTCTCAAGGACACTTTAGTGTCGCTCAAAAGTCATCCATAAATTATATTCTCACCAAACATTCTCCTAGAGAATAGGCTATTGAAACCATGATCTCTCTCGATAGATGACTTTGAAATCGTCGACATAGAATGCTTTCTTAGTTGTTATGTCACTTGATTATCCATCTACAGGTGGTAAATATAAACCACAGTCTGTGAACTATTGTTTAGACAGTTGGATTTTTTGGGTTGCGCTTCAATATATATGAATCTATACTTGGTCTATAACTATAAATAGAAATCTATGACATTCTGGAATAATCTCCACTCTAAGCAATACTAAAATATTAAGATTTCCTTCCAGGTAAATATTACTCATTGAATTCCAACATACCGTTATAAAAGTATCCCATTCGCAGTGAAACATAAAGAGCCTCAGATTCATATATCTATATCAAACCCTTTTAGTTATTAAATGGACACATTCAAGGTCACTTCGGCGTCACTCAAAGGTCATCCATACATTATAATCTCACCATGAATTCTCCAAATTCAATTGATGAATTGACCTTGATCGTGATTGGTCATTATCATGAATTCAATACATGTGACCTTGGATCGATGCATTCAATCAATAATCGGATATTAGAATGAGTTGTCACGTGTTCTCTATATATGGATTCATAAATGAGATGAGTAAGACATAATTCTCATTAAGAGAAAAACCAATTTCATATAAGATCTTGGATGGTTCTTTGGAAATTAACTGAACTTGATTATATTATCCATTTAACCATCTACTAACTGATTTGAAGGGGTAAGTATTATGCTCAGTTGATATAAGTCTTTTATATATCAAAGTCGAGATCTTCACTACGAACATCAAGAAAGTCCTACTGTACAGAGCTGAAACGCGAAGAAGAACTACAACAACCATCACCAAGATGGTTCAAGTAGTTATAAATAGTTGTCTACGCAAGATATTCAACATCCTTTGGCGGATACCATGAGCAACAACCTACAGTGGCAGAGAACAAACCAGCTTCCTACTTAAGAAGAGATTAGGAAAAGACGATTGGAGTGGATAGGATACATATATAAGCAAATATGAAAAGGATGAATAACAACTGGAAAGGATTTCTCAGGGCATGGTTGGATGAAGATTGCTGGTGCTGGGCCTATGCTTCTCCATGAGGAGTAACAGGCGTATTTACATAACTAATAGATGACATGTTCCTCCGATTAAAATTTCTTTCTTCTGTCTTAATAGAACAATGAAGATTTGTATGGAATATATAAAATTACAGAACATCTTAGTAAAATCCGAGAACCATATAGTAAAGACTTCATTTGTAAAATGTCAATCAATCGTCTCAGACTTCCCTATTCCTACATTTCCATACCAATTGCTTTCTGTTCCCGTTCTTTCCTTCTTGATCTCAATCTTCTACTGCCAGACATTATATTCCTAACTCGCGTTATATACTACTTATGTCGATATAAGCAGCAGATACTACACTTGTACCAGCTGAACTGACATAAAATTTTATTGATTGAATATGACTGCCAGATACTGAACATAAAAACGCAAATATGTCCTGTATACTTACTGTAACGGAAGTTTCAGCACTGAATAAAGCTATTGTTATTATCATTATTATATAACGTAGCGTCATTTATAAATGTATGATGGTCCAATCCCACTTAATAATGATCACTGTCACATATCAAGAGCGGTGCATAGGTTTTGATTATAATGAAATTAGTAAATATTTTAAAACAACCTATTTCCAGCTTTATTTTTCAGTTTACATCAAATAAAAATTGAGTGTACTTATGGTCAGTTGATGAATCAATTTGAAGATATCAAAAGGGAGTTTTGTGAAGATTTTAGAAATTTTACTGATTGAAATCATGAGTCAATTGAAGCTAGACCACCATGGAAAACCTGGAAGCACTGGATGGCCGTTTCGTCCCAGTATTAGACTCCTCAGCAGTGCGCATCCACGATCCCGCACCCCGCGAGACTAGAACCCAGGACCAATCAGTCTCGCGCCAGGCACTTAACCAACTAGACCACTGAGCTGGACGGCGTCCAACGGTGTTAATGTCTAACTTCAACCGATCCACGAGGTTGAGCCACCGTACACCACTGTCTTCAGTGAGTTGATATCTCACAACAGACCTGGTTGAACTCCACTGGTAACGGCTTCTCACTAGAACTCCAGGAGCACCTCTAGAAGTCAGTCACTAGTGAGCTTATGTTGATTAGTATCAGAAGGGGGTTTCGTGAAGATTTTAGAAATTTTGCTGATTGAAATCATGAGTCAATTGAAGCTAGACCACCATGGAAAACCTGGAAGCACAGTGCTGAGGAGTCCCATACTAGGATGGAACGGCCGTCCAGTGCTTCTAGGTTTCCCATGGTGGTCTAGCTTTAATTGACTCATCATTTCAATCAGTGAAATTTGAAGATAGTTAGTTGTTCATACTGATTATTACGTTAGCTTCGGTGTTGTTAAGTCTTTTGTTAACTGAACCGGATACTTCTTTATTGCCAAGTATGATTCAAACACTTTACCTTACTCAACTGATTCCCAAAACCAGAACACGACGTGGACAAGTACGTAATTCTGTCCTCAATAAACTAAGTTGAATGAGAGTTAATCACAGAAAGAAGAACGTTAGTATGTTAATAATTTAATATAAAAAATATTCTATTCTCTAATTACCCACTAGCTCTGATTGGCTAATAATAGGCTACTTCTTATTAACAGAATGGGTTTTTTGGAGATCTTAGAAATTTCAATGGTTGAAATGTTGAGTCAATTGAAGCTAGACCACCATGGAAAACCTGGAAGCACTGGACGGCCGTTTCGTCCCAGTATGGGACTCATCAGCAGTGCGTATCCACGATCCCACCCCTCGCGAAATTCGAACCTAGGACCTATTAGTCTTGTGGATTGGTTGAAGTTAGACATTAACACCGTTGGACCCCGTCCAGCTCAGTGGTCTAGTTGGTTAAGAGCCTGGAGCGAGACTGGCAGGTCCTGCGTTCGAATCCTGCGAGGCAGGATCGAGGGTGCGCACTGCTGAGGGTTCCCATACTGGGAAGAAACGGCCGTTCAGTGCTCTCAGGTTTCCCATGGTGGTCTTCTTCCAATTGACTCATGATTTCAACCAGTGAGATACTTCTTTATCATTACTGAGAATATTTGAAGAGGAATGGATGGAATCATTCACTAATGATTCAAAGTTTTCTGGAAACAATTATTCTCTACAAAACTGTACATGATGAAGTGTTTATTATTGGTAAAAGAAAGTACAAAAGGTTAGTAATAAGGATTTAAACCAGAGTGGAAGGTCACTATTTTAAGAATAGCTTAAGTCTTATTAACTAAGCAACGATAGGTTTTATCTAGTTCACACATATCTGTTAATGTTTCACATTCTGTTCATCACTGCGTTTCACTCTAGAATCCATAAGGCATCATCTTAAATCTTGTTGGTTTGTTGATATAGTTTACTTGTGATGAGATACTTGAGATTATGTTTTTACTAAAATGATAGAACTATGGTGTCCATAAAATCCGAAAAGACATCATGAACTTCGAGTTGTTTATGAATGTTGTTGATTTTCACGATCTGCAAAATGAACTGAACTACTGAGCTAAAACAAAAAACAACAACAGTATAAATGCTAGATGCTCTAAAGGTTAAGTGTCCACCTCATGTCTTGAAAGTTCTTAGTTTGATCACAGGTGCTCAATGCTAATGTGTCACATACCAGCTGTTTAGAACATCTTTATTTTCAATAGTTGTCTATTTATGATTATAATCAGAGAGGAGTTTTATGGAAATTATGGTAAATGAATAGTTGAATTCATCAGTCAATTGAAATTAGACTACCATGAAAAGCCTAGAAGCACTGGATTACCGTTTCCTCTTACTATGGGACTCTATGATTTGGAATATACTTACTTCTTGATAATGAAAGTTAAAATGTGAACACCATCAGATTTTTTCAAATAATATTAAATTCACTTGGTGTTGCTTTACTTGTATCTTTCCATTGTTATTTAAGATTACAGTTGGTCAGTCTCTTATTGGTATATGTGCATCCAGTGCGGATTGCCTCGATACAGAAATAAGTCACAAGCTTTTTTTAAGCAAAGATGGATAATGGCTAGCAGAGGAATCCAGTTTGACGCGCGTTTCATCCTACTTGTGACTCATCAGCTGGATGTACCCTCATCTTAGAGTTGATATTCACTCCAGATAACATGATAGCGTTTAAAGAGAACAGTACTAGATACATACAGTTGACGAGTCCGAAATAGGAAGAAACACGCTTCAAACTAGATTCCACTACTAATCACTATCCCCATCATAAATATTCACCAATATTAACTGTTATTATCATTTAAAGTACACAACTTAAATCTTTATCCAATTACATTGTATTTTGTTTGAATAGAAGAAGAAGAACAACGACAACAACAAAAAGAAACGAAAGAAAGAAGAACACTGTAGTCATCAAGTACTACTTCATCTATACTTTTATTTTCATTTAAGTTCAATTGTAATTCACTTCAAATCATGTGATTATAACCAAACAAATTTGAGAACCAACATACACAACTCAATGATTACATAAGTGTACTCAACTAAATGAAATGATTAGTTAAATGAATGTGTAGATAGATACCTTTGTCTTTATATGATATGTCTGTTCATTGAAATATCCAATACAATAGTGATCATTTATTATTGAATCAGATCTTGATTAGATCTGTTGAATTGTAAAGAAGAGATCTCGTTGTGAATGTGTGTTCGCTTTCATCTCCAACATCATTCATAAGACGTTCATTATAACAAACTAGAATGTGAAATCATGTATTATTCATTGGATTATATATACATATATAATTATATCTATTGAATTGTTTAATTAGTCAATTATGAAAAAAGGTAAAAAGAACCAGGTAAGTATTGAATATAATTAATTGAGAAGTTTAGGCTGATATAGTTTTTGTTTCTTCCAAACCTTTTAATGACCATGAATCTGCTTTCGCAGTTAAAGGGTTGTAGAGATTATTATGTTATTGATTGAGATCAAGAATTGATTGATGTAAGATCATCATTGAAAACCTAGAAGCACTGAATGACCGTAAGGAAATTCTCGTAGTTCTAGTGTGAAGTCGTGATCAGTGGAGCTAATCCATCTTGGGTAGAGACAGGTATCTACTTCAGTAAAATGGAAGATAGTTGCGCAGTTTTGTGGATTAGTTAAAGTTAAACATTAACACCGTTGGATGGCAGCTCACTGGTCTAGTAGGTTGAGCGTTCGCGTTCGAGATTGAAGGTCTTGGGTTCGAATCCTTCGAGAGGGGTCATGAATGCGCACCATTGAAGAATCCAACAAAGGGACGAAACGTCCTTCTAGCTCTTCAATGGTGGTCTAACATCAATCTTTAAAACTGAAGACCACTGCGATATTTGAACCCACTTTACACATGCTTCGATGGAACAATGAGAAGACGGAGTTGATCTGAAGATTGATCATGTATTTGCTCTACATCCATTTCGAAAATCTAGTCACACATATACACTTGTCAGGGCATTTTTATATGAAAATCAATAAAAGTCAATTGCATGAAAGTTCAAGTAAAAAGAGGTAACAAAGAGGAGAGAAACAATTTTACATCGTATAGAAAGAATAAAAGAAGAGAAATGAAGATTCAAGTAAAAAATATTGAGTGAATTTAAGCTTTACCCCAATGCACAAGTAACTGACTACCAGAACTTCGTAGCTAAGTGTATAACGCGATGGCATTTGAAGCGAACAGTACTGAATTCGATCACCAGAGTGAACATCAACTCTAGGATGCAGGTACATCCAGATGAAAAGTCCCGAATAAGACGAAACGCGCTTCAAACTGGATTCCTTTGCTATCTGCTATCCACCTTTGCATATAATGATTGTGACTTAAGGCTAAATCGAGGCAATTCGCACAGGATGCACATATACCAATAAGAGACTGATCAACTGCAGTCCTAAATAACAATGGGAAGATTTAGAAAAAACAATACCAAATGAATATAGAATTTGTCGCGTTATCCTAGGCCATAGAATGACTTAAGGATTACTGGGGTAAACTCAAGAGTACAACAAATTGTTTTTGTACATGAGGGGGGATGGGGCTTGAATTTTGGAATAGCCAAAGCTTTAATAAACTTGAAAATTCATCCTTGACAATTTCTATCCAACGTTTTAAAAGCTGTACTAATGTATTAATTTTGTGCCCCCGTTTCAATTATGTGTTTCACTATCAATGAACATGGTCGTCTATCTCCCACATTGATTGGATTATTGGACACTAATTGGTTTTGAAGCCATCTAAGCACATGTTCAATGACCCTTGTTTGTACTGTGCGATTACTCCTCCCTATGTATATGTGTTCACACAAACATGTAAATTGGTAAATACAACTTTGCTAAGATGTTATTCACTGAAAGTTGAGTCCCATAAAGAGGATCAGTTTCTTTACGATTATAGTTGTGACTTGCTGACTAATACCAACTAATGTCGACTACTTACAACCATTTACCATTCCAAAATTTTTTGTTCGTTGACGACTGAACTTAATGATTTTGATTTGACAACTACTTAAAACCAGAAAACACAGGATATTATCAGTTTAGGGATTGTGGAGATTGTTAAGTTTTTGATTGAGATCATCAACCGATTAATGCGAGATCGCTATTGAAAACCTGGAAGCACTGGACGGCCATTTCTTCCTATTGTGGAACCCCTCAACAGTGCGCATCCACGACCGCGCTCGCGAGACTCGAACCTAGGGCCTCCACTCTCACGCGCGAATGCTTAACGTACTGGACCACTGAGCCTGAACCCAATGGTAATTGTTTCATGTTTTTATGTTTTCAACACTTGCCAAATCATGATGTAAAATGGAAATGTTTGTTAGAAAGCTGAAATAAGACTTGTTATACTAGAGTATAGGGGTGAGTCAATATTGACATTGAAATGGCGTTGAAACAAATTTTCAGCTATTCAACAGACAGTTTATCAAAATCAAAAGTGTTTCACAACAAAGTTGATAAACCTCTATTGAAATTTAATGGTTTAACGAAGTTTATAAGTTATCCAAGGCTTATTGTCGTTTTCTGACGAATTAGTTTTCTATGGGACGGGATAGACAACCCCACATCCAATCCCCCGCCTTTATCCGGGCTTGGGACCGGCAGTAGCCCCCAAGGGGCTTCATGAATAAATGTCGCTACACAAATTCATTTATCTTACTGTTAGTAAATTCAAGCTAAAAGTTAATTTTGTGTCCTTCTGTCACCCATTCACAATTTTCTAGAATATGTATCATTGTCTACAACATCCATTGAAGGGTTGGTGAAATAAAGTTTTCAGATGACGATGTGATAACTTGATGTTTGGGAAATGTTATCAACATACATAACTCCTATTATTCAACAAACCACTGATGAAGCGATTTCTTTAAGAGTTTACTATAAACAACATTAACTGAAATAAACACTGATCGATTTATGTGTTGAGCATAATCTCAACAGACAGTAGTAAACATTTGACGTGCTTTAGTGAAAAAATCTTGATGCCGAAAACTCAATGGTTTACTATGATTGGGTATCTGAAATCAATTCAGGATGTAAATTGTATACAAATTGAATAATCTCCACAAATAGCTTATTCTAATAGCATGATTTCTTGATGAGTCTCTGTAGGCCAGAAAGCATTAGTATGTCAGTAACATTTTCCTCATTTCTGACAGTCTTTTCTATGACACGTTGATGATTTTCACATGGATTGAACCCAGAAACCACATTAATACTAATGTAAGCAAATGAATGCTTAAGTGCCATGAAATACCTTGTACGATGACTAAGCAATGAATGTAAAAAACGAGAAAAACCACAGAATGTATAAAGGATAGACGGCAGGTCAAATACAAATGCAGGCCAACTCTTATGAAAAGATTATTCACTTAGCCATGGTCATCCAGTAAGTCCCTTGTCTTAGTCATTCCGGGCACATAGTTGCAATTAATTTGAAGGAGCTTTTATCAAAAAACATCTTTGTATTTCTTATCTGCCTAATTTGGTTGAATAAGCATTAGGTCCTTGTATTCAAGCTGAGGTGAACATCAGACTATCATATCACAGTCTTTGATTTTCGTTCAGTCGCATTCTTTCTTGTAACATTACTTCTCTTTCTAGTTCTATTATCCTCTAATAGACACAAAATATAAGAACATGTAGTTTGATTTCGGATGTAATCAGTAGTATACATTGCGGATAAATCTCAACATGACTCTCTATGAACGTTGCAATCTATGGGTTACAATTTTATTTTGATTGATAAGTTACTATCAAGCATTAAGAACAGTCAAAAATGCCGTGGTTTGATCGAGAGTGATGGGAATTCGCTCTCCGTCTTAAAATGCCCTCACATGGCCACGCGTATGCAGATACTGACAGGGAAGTCCTGTTCACTGCCTACTGGCGGCGGGGATTTTGTTTACTAAATTCACAGGACTAAAAGCAAGTGGTGGCGCTTGAATTGGCTTGGCGGGTATGCAGTATTTACCTGATGGAGTTGGAAAACTCTTATTCCAAAACGATGGTATACATGAGCTTCAGGAACATGAAGGAACAATTTGCGTATGAACTTTGTCTTTGTCACCGGCTACAATAAAATCGCATCTCTCAACGTTGCTCTGCTACTTTGTGGATTGGACCTGTAGGTCAAAGACTCGGAGAGTAGTTCTCTAAGAAAACCACTTGATTCGGTTCGGACACCTTGACACTATCCCGGCCCATGCACAAATTTAATGATTTACTGTATGGCGCATATAAACTTTTGTCCCTCGTTTTGTACCAACGTTCATGTGTTTAAATAAATGAATCACTCACACATTTGAATCTCCAAGACAGCCAAACATATTGGTTTAATATTCAGTCGATCGGCTTCAGATAATGCTATCTGTATATGGTTACTGAAGAAGCGGAAATGTCCTTTTATTCAGCATGTAGAAACGATGAATATTTTTCGGATTACTTAGCTAATTTAAAACTTCTCAATTGCTGTATCACCAATATTTTCAACTTGTAAGTTCGTCCATATCAGACAGACGTGACGAACGAATCTGAATTTTATGTTGAAATTTGACTCCTTTCACTTTGAAAGTCAAACTTTAGTCTATTTAATAAATTCTTAACCCTACAATATGACCTTTGTTTCACATTTTCTGACGCCCATCAGTTGATTCATGGGACATTTGCCTAGTTATCTCTTCAAGACAATTCCTGTAATCTAATCTAGTTTCCTTTCAATGAAATATACTATTCAGAGGTGATTACTTCGTTGGACTTGATCCACACTAATCAAATGAGTTTATTAAGCAATCCAGAACGTTTCTTCATGTTTTAGGCGTTTCAATCCTGGTAGGCATTTTTTAGTAAGATTTATTTCTACGAGATGAGGTTGCTAATCCCATGCCCAATCTTCCTCTTTTACTCGGGCTTGGGACCGGCAGTAAGTCTAGAAGAGCTACAAGCGGAGTTCGTTTCACTTACTTTGATCAAAATATATCCAGCTTATATGTAAGTGAGGGGAGTTTAATTGTCAAATCACTTGACTATCAAATAGTCAATTGTTCATTCAAAAACAATTTCACGTCATTTAATGTAAGGAACTAGGCTAAATCACTAACCGTTACACCGAAACGATTTACATACATATCTACACTTGTTCAATGAATGTTCAGTAGATGCCGTCTCAGTGGTCTAGAAGTTAAGCGTTCGCGCGCGAAACCGAAGGCCGTGAGTCCAAATCCTGCTAGCGGGATCGTGGATGCGCACTACCACTGAGGAGTCCCACAGTGGGACGAAACGGCCGTCCACTACTTTCAGATTTCCAATAGTGGTCTAACATCCATCGTTTCACGATATCAATCAATGAATTACTGTCAAATTATGTTTATTTTAATAGTGGATACCCAAATCTTGTTAACTCAGTTATCAAACCCCAATGGATGAAATGTAAATGTTATGTAACTTCAATAAATGTATTGGGCAATATCCTTAGAAACAGTATTTCATGAGAAACTATTTTATCATACTTATGACTTTTATATAAAAACTTTCCTGATATTCAGCTTAGGAAAATAAAAATTAAACAGGGGTAAAAGTGTTCTTTAATTCTGTGAATGGTTAATCTGCCATTAAATAGTAAATTGTAGTCATTCTACAACTATCTAAGTAGTTCTCAGTACTCTGGAGTATAGTACAGGAATAGTTTTCTTCTAAAATGTTGTACAAAATGTATTTGGTTACATACAGATGTCCCAGTCAACCATTTCCTATGACATTGTCGAGCCAGATTCTGGAAAAAACTTTAAGTACATTTTGGTTATTACAGGTATGACTATAACATAGTTGTAGGAAATCTTATGAACTGATTAATGAGCGACTATTAAGCGATTACACATTAATCATCGATTCTTAGTTATCCAATGGAAACAAGTCATATCAACTACATATTGAGTATGAAGTAATAGGCATTTGTATTAAAATACGATTTTATTTTATTTATTTCAACACAAATACTGATACAAGAGGACACCAAATATATATGCGCCACACTATATTTGTGTGTGTGGGCTATGATACTGCCCGGGTGCCCAGACCGAAGCAGGTGGTTATCTTAGGAGGCCACAACCTGAGCCTTTAACCTAAAGGTATGATCCACAAGGCAGTTGAGCATCATGAGGAGATGAATTCCCATGGTAGCCGGTGACCAACGACTGGTTCATACGCCATTTGTTCCCTCAGGATACTGGAGCCCATGTGCACCATTGGTTTGGAATCCGGTTAAAGCGCCGGACATTCCCTTTTCGTCCTCCCATTTTCGTAAACAACACCCCTGCCACGAGAAGGCAGTGAGTAGGACTTCCCTGGCAGAGGCTGTATACACGTGGCTGTGTGAGAGCATTTCCAGAGGGAGGGCGAACCCACCCCACTCTCGACCATAGCAGAGCATTTGGAAGTCTTAAAATACGACTGGTACTTGTTTGGTCATGGAGATAACAAGCAAATATGGTCTATAGTATATTCTATCTAATTACATGAAACAATATGTTACCAATTAGATTTTAATGTAATTTATCTTTTTCTATTTCAGGTAATCAAAGTACAAAATACTGATTGCAGCATGGTGACTATCAATGTACCTCCTGAATGTGAGTATTTTAAATATCATAGACCGTCAATGTATTGTCTTGCTATAATTATTTCAAGTAATTAGTCTTGATAACTTTAGTGCTCATCTTGTAAGCAAATTTATTATGTCCTTATGCCCGATTAACTATATCCCGTTATAAGGTCGCCAATTAGACACCAATTTATACGATCAGGCCGATGACACATAAACCTATACGACCATCCTAGAATACTTATTGATTCAATGAGATAACAGCTTCTCTCCCAACCCAACCGCCGGTTCAGTCCAGAACGCCAATATCAGCCTATGTGATACGAATCATACATTTTAGACACACTGGGTTTATATACAAACATATTAAACCACAACATAGCATAATATAGAAACCAACAATTGTACAAGATCAACCAAAAAGTGGCTGTGATTGGGAGAGACTGTTTCAAATAAATTGGAATGGTAAATCATATGTTAATGGTTAATAATCAGAGAGGGATTTTATGGATATTATAGTAATTTTTATTAGTTGAATTTATGAGTCAATTGAAGCTAGAACACCATGGAAAACCTGGAACCATTGGAAGGCTGTCTCATCCGATTGTGTGACTCCTCAGTAATGCACGTCCACGATTACGCTGTGATCAGTGGAGTTCAAATGGATCTGTTGTGATGTTGACAATGGCGGTCTAGTGGTTTAAGCGCTCGCGCGCGAGACTGATAGGTCCTGAGTTCGGATCTTGTGAGGCGAGATCATGGATGTGCATTGCTGAGGAGTCCCACAATAGAGTGAAACAGTCGTCCAGTGCTTCCATGTTTTCTATGGTTGTCTGGCTACAATCGACTCAGGAATTCAACTATTAGAAAAATAGTCAATAAGTCAAATAGAGGCATATAATGAAAGGAACATGAATATCCATGTAATATAGTTACCTAATAGTATCATATGCCCATTAGTGATTAACTTCGTGTTCTAGTGAGAAACTGATTGTTAATCGTATATTTAGAATAACCAACTAATGAAAAATTGCTGTCTACATCATAAGCAATAAATTAAATGAAGCAAAATGTAATAAAGAGTTCAAGTTTACTTATTATAGTCATTAGTTGCTATGGCTAATTGTATTCCCTTTTTTATCCTATTTGTACCATTGAAATCAATTAAATCAATTGGTCCAGTGAAATGTTAGATCTACTTAAAGTTCAATCGTTGAGATCTCTACAAATATAATACTATTCTCAGTTATTTATAGTGTCATTATTCGAAATCAATTCTTGATACTACACTAATATCAATGATCAATTATAATTTATGGGCGACCTTTGAGTGACCTTGAGAATACCCACCTAATAACTAGGATCAAATGAGGGTTATGAACCAGTGTATGAACAATTAGAATTATGATTTATAGTTGATGGTTAAGGTGAGGAATTAGATTTTCGAGTTTTCACTACGAACTGATATCAGTTATAATGTCAAAACTCTATTTAACTAAATGGATGAGTGAATTTCGCGCCAAAATCCCAGATCTGTTATCTTATACGCCTGATTGGTTTCGTCCATAAATTCTAGTCTCACCCTAATATCTAATAGCACAAAAGAAATTGAGTAAGTGTCCTGTTGTATTCTTAAAGTTGTGACGAGATCAACCAGTTAAAAGATGATTTCTGATTGGTTTATAAATCTAGTTCAAAACATTTGCAAACAAGTAAATGGTACACTTAATAATCACTGGTGTAAATTATAAGACTCTCAAATACCAGAATGTTGTGAACGGGCAAAAATAAGTTAAAGGGGATAGTCATACCGGAGCATTTTTAAAAAATGATCCAACCATTCAGCTCCGAAGAAATAATTTCAACAAGATCTTGACAAAACGTGAATGTTGTTTGCAAAATTTATGGTTCCAGAACAATCATGACTGTTTACCTACATGAAGTCATTCTAATGCACAAATTTAAATAGAAGGAAGCTTGTAACTACTGCACAACACTAGAAGTATCCATAGAAAGGTGGCCATATTCTTTGACCTAGTGAATAGCTTCCGGAGGAAATTTCCGAAGTTCTAATGAGAAGCCGTAATTCGTGTAACTGAACCGTGTCGATACCTACCGAAGATAATGGAAGGTGGCTGTGCACTGTTAGGAATCTATTGAAGTTAGACAGTGACGCCATTGGACGCCAAATCAGTGTTCTATAGGTTAAGTGTTCACAGAAAAAATTGCTATTCTTGGTCATATTCTCACATGTGGTTTCGTGGATGCCCACTACTGACAAATCCCAAACTGGAACGAAACGCTCATTTAGTGGTTCTTGGTTTTCAACAGTGTCTTAAAATTGATCGGTTCACGATTTCAATGAAACTCAATAATCACCAAAACTTTATACTTACAAATTCAGGGATATTACTGCATGAATTTTTATCATGATTGAATTGATTACAATAGAGGACTGATCTGCCTTCTATCTTCGTCTTCTGATCGCCCACTAAGCTACAAGGTGCTTAAAGACGAATATGATTTAAGGGTTCGGCTGTTGTTCGTCGGTTGATGTGTAAATAGATCATCGATCCTGTTAACAATATAGGCGAACTAGTGAACAGTTAGACGAAAGAAAAAGACATTATACAACTGCTTTTTTGTCATTACGATCTAATCACATTAGTCCCACAACAAACTATTCACGCAATCTGAGTTTTCTTAGCAACATTATAGTGGTTTACTTCGTTTGCACATCTACTTACGTTTACATGCTTAGGCCTGGTACTCCAAATGGAGAATAGGCCGCCGACCAGCATTCTCCAAACCACTCTGTCCTGCACCTTCCTTTCTAGTTCTATCCAATTATTGTACACTTTTCTCACGTCTGCCTCCATTTCTCGACGCAAAGTGTTCTTTGGTCTCCCTCTTCTCCTTTGACCTTGAGAGTTTCAAGTGATGAGGGCTTGCCTTGTGACGCAGTTGGGTGCTTTCCTCAATCTATGTCCTATCCACTTCCAGCGCTTCTTCCTGATTTCTTCCTCTGGTGGAATCTGGTTTGTTGTCTCCCACAGTAGGTTGTTACTAATAGCGTCTGACCAACGGATCCGAAGTATTTTGCGTAGACAACTGTTAATAAACACCTGTATCTTCTGAATGATGGCTTTCGTAGTTCTCCAAGTTTCCGTCCCATTCAGCAGAACTGTCTTGACATTTGTATTGAAACTCCTGACATTGGTGTTGGTTGACAGAGAGTTGTTTTGAGTTCCAGATGTTCTTCAGTAGTAGATATGCTGCTGTTGTTTTGCCGATTCGCGCCTTCACATCTGCATCAGTTCCACCGTGTTCATCTACTTACTGTATACTACCTACTGTATACTTGAACATTTCACTTTTTACATACATTGGAATTTACATTAAAATAAACAAGATTGTTTGACTAATTGTTTTCTATTCATTTTATTGCCAATGGCTAATTATCATTGTTATAGTTAAAGGCTAAACATTTTTGTTACTGACGACTGGATTACAATCATTTGATTTGAATTGATTATAGGCGTCCATTATAAACATTTCAATCACATAATTAGTATTAATAGAGAGTTAATATCTTCTCACCAAATAGTTGAATCGTTGCTAATTTGTTAATGGATGTTATTCATGTTGAATATCTATCTATCGACTTGAACTGTCGTTTTTAAGGCTTTTTCAATTTATCGCTCAGACTAGAAGTTGGTGACTTTACGGACTGATGCCACGTTTTGGTTCGGCCGCACCCAACTTTCTTCCAATCATCCCCAACACTAGTCAGCATTGCACGTTGTGGTAGTCGGTTTTCAGGTATATGTAACATGTGGCCCGACTATCTTGGTCGATGAGGATTTACAACCTCATAGAGTGATTTACCATCATTATTCGTCAATACCATGCATCTAACCTCATTGTTACTTACCCGGTGATTCCAGCTGATGCGAGCAATATTTCCCAGACATACGTGATTAAATACCATCATTATAACAAAACGTTTACTAATTCGAGCTATGAATTATTCTTTATTAGTGTAAAAATTTAGAACAGGTCGATAATAGGAAACTGTGTAATCAACCACACGTGCTTCATCTTACTTGGAACTAATCAGTCGGATGTACCTGGATCTCATCGATGATGTGTTACGTCAAAACTAGAAGCTAGTACTTTTCACTTGAAGTACCAATGCGTTGTTCACTGAGCTATGGAGTTCAGATAGCCATAATTAGGGATGTATAGAAACCAAAAAGCACACAATTTCAGTCCTGAATATCTCAAAGCAACGACTTACCATGTTTACGTCAGTTGTTATTTGGATACTATTTATTGGTGACTAAAAGCATATTTCACATAATCTAAGTTTGAATTCACATGCCTAACATATCCTGGAATTTTTACTAAGAACAAAATATAATATTCAAGTTATTCAATAAAGTCACATCTTGTTCATTAGGGTTACCGTTGCCGTAAATAGATATGAGTAATGTGGTCCAACTTTGTGGAATAAAACCGGATGGTGACATTTCTCACAGGGGAAAACGAATGTTCCACAGGTTTGCTTGTCTATAATGAAGGTCTTTTTAAGTAGGTGAGTAACAAGCACTAAATGATAAAGATCATCCTACTAGTTTTCTTTCTGAATTTCACTTGATTCCACGTTGGCGTCTGGATCAAATATTTATGTTATTTGCGTTTTAGATAGCCTTCTAGTTAGTTGACAATTTATTATGACACTGAATACTGAAAAGCTCGGATGAAAACACAACCGTTTTCGGCATCAAGTAAGTACCACATGGGGATTCACGCATGGATGAAAGAAAAATAGCTGCAACATCTGATCTGATTTAGAAAACTCTATCGGTAAACAGTGAATCACAAATACTGACTATTGAAAAGCATCTGTGAAATAATATCTTTGAACAACTAAGATCTTGAGTGTGTATGTAAGACAAACTTGTCATAATATATCCAGAACTTAGTGATCAGAATATCCTACTATAACAAAATTTGTGATTCAAAATGTAAAATACAGGATAGCGGTTAAATGGTCTAAAAGCTAAGCGCTTCTCACACTACCTGAAGATTCTAGGTCCGATCCCTGGCAATGTGTACTGATGAAGGGTCCTGTACTGGGACGAAACATTTATTCAAAGCTTTCTGGTATCTAATAGTTTTCTAACTAATACATCATTTCATAATATACATTACATAATTCAACAATCTCAGCAAACCCTGCATTCTAAACATTCATTTGTATGGTTTATAATGGCTTTGAGCCAACATGTCATTCATTGTAATTATCTTTTAATCATGTGATGTAGTTTACAATTATAGATTTTAAGTATAACTAATTACATACAATCAAATCTAGCATCAAGTAATGTGTAGAGATTGACGTAATTGGTAAGTAGTTAGAATAGTAAAGATAAGTTCATTCAAGCTATTAATAAAGTCTCTCGCCAACTCCAGTACTCTGAATGGATACATAAATGGCGTTCGCTACATAAACACACTTGAATTAGAGAACTTGAAATTTGGTCAGATGATTACCGTGGTTGTGCTTTTGTTTTATTAATAAGATATAATTTATGTATATTTATAGGTATATAGCTAGAATATTTTCGTGATTATGGGGGTATCTCAAAGAGATTGTTGAATTTGAAGTTTTAAATTATAGACTAACTTTGGTAAGAAGACCATGGGAAATCAATAAACACTAGGTACATGTTCTCCCCTTGTATGCTACTTCTTATTAGTGCTAACCACGATGTTAACAAACGATGTATGCCTATGTGGAAAATGACGTACAACTAGGCTTCATGAAACATTATAACTAAAATACTTTATACATTTACTTCCCTTTATCAACTTGAAGCGAGCAAGAAGAATACCTTAAAGCTCATTTATTTATGAATTTATTTTTGATGAAATTTAGACATTAATACCGTTAGATTCCCGTTAGGTGGTGTGGAGGTAACGCATTTTTACCCGAAGTCGAAGGTTTTGGTTTCTATTACCGATGGCGGGATGGTGGGTGCGCACTCCTGAAAGTTCTAGTACTATGGTAAAACAACCGTCTAGTGCTCCCGTGTTTTGAATGGTGGTCTAACTAAGACCAATTCGTGGTCGTTTCACCTTAGTATACGACCCATCAGCAGTGTATATCCACGACCCTGAAATCAGTGTTTGAAACGAGAACTTTGTCTTGCGCGCGAACGCTTAACATCTAGACCACTGAGTCGGCGTCCAACGATGTCGGTTTCTAGCTTGAATCAATCTAATATATTGTCCTCGCAGAGTAACTGCCTCTCACCTGACCTGGTTGAACTCCACCGATCACAGCTTCTTACTAGAACTTAAAAAATTCCCTCACGAAGCTAATCACTAGTCGCACATGATAATTATCAGTACAGAAGTAAAAAGTTCACTTAATCTCATTAAGATTATGAACCGATCTAAGTTAGACCATCATTAAAATCCTGTAATCACTAGACGACCGTTTCGCCCGAAAATGAGACTCCTCAGCAGTGAGAAACAACGAAATCGAAGTTGACTATTACATAATAATCAATCAGTGTTTATATCTCAACCATATTATATAACATCTGTAATTGTTGAGTTTAGTAAAGTGAGTTTAAATTGATTAATGAGCATCACTTTTCTCAAGATTATGGATACACTTGGTTAACACATACTAACTAGCCCAAAACCTCTTCGATCAACAAATGCTTCATGTCGGTTGCCTTTTACAAGATAACATACGAAGGCAACCTATATCTATACACGTTGTTATCATAGTCAAAACTTTTAATGAGAAAACTAATCAAGAAACAATTTATCTAATATAATGGAAAAAACGCATAAGTTCGAGTTTGTCGAAGCCTATGTGTTCAACTGATCAGTTGTATTGATCTGGTTTAGATATTGAATAATTAGCCTAGATTGCTTCTACAATACAGCTGCTTTACAATCAGGATAGAGCAATAACACAATAGTTGAATAAACTTTCATCACTCAGTTCAGTCCATTACTTTTGAGGTCATATAGATTAACAATTTATCCAACTACCTGGAACCTATAGAAGTATACTGCCAGTCCTAAATCCGGATAAAAAAGGAGGGTTGGACATGCGAATAATTAACTTGTCTAGTAGAAAAGAAAGTTGCCGAAAATTGGCAACTAGAAAAATCATTCAAACCATCTAAACTCCTCACTGGGAATTGAAGTGTTATAAAACCTCACGAGGCCAGTTCCCCTTCCTACAACCAATCCAACAATTAGTATAAGTACATGTAATGAATGATTGAATATCATTCAGTGCTATGTGCCTACAAAACAATAACAGTAAACACGATAATGATCAGTAACTACTCATTATGTAATGAACGAGAGCGCATGTGGGTACAATGAATGTATTTTAATACAAGAATACAGAATCCTCTGGTAAAATGTGAGAACCATACATCCAATACTTCATTTGCAAATCTGCCATTCACAATTCCTTCATTGCCATAACAACTATTCTCTGTTCCCATTCTCATCGATTTGATCTTCCCAACCTTCCTCTGCTAGGCATTCCATGTGTTATATACTACTTATCTCGACAGACATAAGTAGCATATACCACAATCATGCTACTAATTATAAACAATAACTTTAGGCAGAACAGTTCTGAAAGTTCGAAACCCCTTATAACACTATCGTTTTACTTTTTTTTTATAAAAAAAACCCAATATTTAGTAAGAAAAATTGAGCAAATTTTATTCGCTTCAGTAAAACAAAATCGTTTTGATTTAGTTAGTCGAATAATAGACGGTCATAAATGTGATATTAATGTAAGAGATAGTTTTGATCGAACACCATTACATTTGGCTGCATCATCTGGAAATTTACCAATGGTGAAATTATTAATAGAAGGTAGAGCATTAGTTGATCCAGTGGATAAAGTAAGTCATTATTCATTTCTTTTTATTGTTATTGTTGTATTTACTATGCTATCTGATAATAAGAACCGGTGTTGGAGATGGTTGGAAGACAGTTAGGGGTGGCCAAATCAAATCGTGGCATCAACCTGTGAAGTCACTAACTTCTAGTCTGAGCCATGTTGGTAGATGCAGACTGCTTGGTTGGAGCGCATGTGACTATCGTACCCAATGATTGGAGACTCTGGGTGACACGGCTCAGTGTCGGTGTATACACTCTCTGTCTTCCCTTAAACTAAGAGACCAAAATCGCCTTATATATTCCTTTCTACGAACTAATTCTTTCTTCCTGTACTATATCCTTATATAAAATCTTTCTTTTATATATTACCACCTCTGAATTAACTACTTCTATGAATTTGGTGTTCATCATGTTGTGTTAATGAGGTATTTCAACTTGGACCCATGCACATATGTGCCTGGTCCTATGTTGTAACTGACTGACTGACTGACGGAATACTGCCCGGGTGCTCAAACAGAAACCATCTGATCAATCATAGTCGTTAACATCAATAATGGAAAGATTAAAACACGTCTTACAAATCCATTAAAATTCATATTCGTTACACAAATGACTAACTGTTTGAAATCAGTAGCTCAGTAGGTAATATATTGGCCGTTTCAAATGAATCCTAAAATAAAGATCAATATCAGGATACAGATATTCAAAGCTGACTAGTCTTCAATAAAACCAAACATACATCCTAGATTTAACTACTAGTCAATATTAAAACTATTTAAAAATGCTTGTGTTTATTGGATTAACATTTTACAACTGGAACCAAACAGCAGACTAGTATTTTCTCTTACTTTCTCATCTGATTTCCATCATGTATTAAGTCCAATGACGTGAAGATATTTACTTCATGATGGATACTATGCACTAAACAGTTCAATCAACTTTATTGAATATAGTTACCCAATAGTTACTATCATTGCTTTTGTTTTTTTTAATTTTTCAGTTTGGTATCACACCATTATTTTGGGCTGTTTATAACAATTATAAAAATGTAGCTCATTATCTACTCAATATGGGGGCTAAACATAATCGAGTTACTAAGGTGAGTAGAATTTGTATCATTTTTTTGTTTGTCATGATATCCTAGGGGGGGGGATAAACCACCAGAGAGTGTTATTAATTGATTATTCACTGAGTTACTGACTTATGTTATGTTTAGTTATAATTTAATGTTTATTGAGATCTTTCAGTAAGGTTGAAGGCATTCGGCAAGAAAAAACTATAGATTTAGGTATTCGTCTTGGTTGGTACTCAACAGAAAGGCGTACCTGCCATCTTGAAAGATCTGAGATTAGAACCTCACTCTCATAGTCCGAGACTTCATCTCATCATCGCCGGTTTGCCTTGTTGATTAGTGTTTATCAACAGGAGATCTACATTAAACATGATTTCATGCTTACTACTTCAAACTTCATAAGTCTTTTAAGAGTCTTTTTCATTGTTGGCGCTGAAAACTGCAATTGATCGGTCTCTTTTGACAATATTTTCAAGTAATCTCTGACTTGGGTTGGAGTTCAAGACATACATTTCTTCTTGTATTGAACTTGTTCACCTTCAACCACACATTAGTTAAATGTCTTAATATCAATAGCTGGAAAATATAAACTCATCCAAATACTTTCAGATCCGTTAGATAAGTTAGTGCTATCCCAACTAACCAGTCTAGTAGATAACATATTGTCATTGGGGTCGGAGGGCATTAAATTAGAATTTCAGTGTAGTAAACATTAACAATGAGATACAGATACATTTAAATGACGAGTTCAGGGTGAGACGAAACAGTAGTTTTGGATTTTATTTCTGGTCACCACCTAACAAAACAATGTGTCTCGGCTTAAAATTCCCTATCATACTGAAAAATACAAATATATCAATGAAGAATATCCTTTTTCATATTCTACACAGATATACTTCAAAATTGGCCATGTTTAAGGCAAATACAACGTTTACAACTACAACATACAGTCTTAATATCAGTACGAGGGTTTTTCGGAGATCATGGATTTTTCATAGATCTTACATCACGAAATGATCTAAGTTAGATCACCATTAAAAACCTAGAAGCACTTGATGGATGTTTCGTCCTCGTATAAGACTTCTCATCTGTACGCAGTACTGCTGGGTTCGATTTCCGGATGCACAATTCTAGATGCTCATTTCTGAGTGTTCCTAAACCAGGACAAAACGATCGTTTAGTGTTTCCAGGTTCTAAATAGTGGTTTACCTGATATCCATTCATGATTCAAAGACTATGAAAATTCTTAATGTTGCAATAACTATTATGCAATGTCACTAACTTAAATATAGATTATACATCAAATGAAATTGTCCAGTTAATAGTCAGAACAAACATGAGGGTCAAAAGATCAGACAATGTAAGTACAGATCAGATCAAATGTTTTAATGAAAGACTATTCTGTGTATAAAGTGATACAATTCCATTAAGATATAATAAAATGGATTGCATGGCAACTAAATTTCTCATGTGTTTGGCTAATTAAGATATTAAAACAATGACTGTTATATTTGGATAAGATTCATTTTAAGCTATGAAAATGGAAACAAATAAGTTCAAATACACATTATTCTAATCAAATCATTCTATAATCAAGATTACTATTGATATACTGACCTTGAGGTTGGTCAAAGTTAACTGGTTGAATATATTTTTCCTCTTCACAAACATAACTCCGTTATCTATTCTAGAGTTTGGATGGTTATTACGCCTAGTGTTTAAAGGACTTTGAGCTAAACCGTGTTGGGTAGAAACAGGTATCTAACTCAGTACAATGGAAGATGGTCGCAGAATTTCGTGGATTGGTTAAGGTTAGACATTAACACCGTCGAATGCCGGATCAGTAATCTAGAGGTTAAACGTTGACGATCGAGACTGAAGGTCCTGGGTTTGAGTCCCGCGAACGGAGTCGTGCATGCGCACTGCTGAGGAGTCTCACAATAGAACGAAACGGCCATCCTGTGCTTCCAGGTTTTCAATGGTGGTCTAACATCAATCGGCTGATGATCGCAATCAAAATAACCTAATAATCTCCGCAACCCTATACTGACTTTGAGTTTGACTGACTTTTGGCGAAAATTACTAGCGTGATAAATTACTGTCGACAATAAACTTATGCTGATATCATTTATTCTGATTATTCAGTTCATTATTATCGTTTCGCGTAGAAAACTGTTCAAATGATTACCACTGAATAATAGTAATTTTAATGTTAACAAGCAATCCCGAATCCCCATATTCCATGGTTTTAAACGATGTATTTGCCTTAAATTTGACCATATTTTGGCCAATTTATTTGAAAGTATATCTGCGTAGAACGTGACATTCTTCTCCCAGTGGATTTGACGAGACAATATAATTTTCATAGTTTAAATCACGAATTGATCATAGCTAGACCAGTAGTAAAAACCAAAAGGTACTAGACAGGTGTTTCACTTTACTATGAAACTAATCATTAGTACCCATTCACGATCTCTCATCCAGGACTTTTAGTCTCGCAAGTGAATTCTCAACCTTCTAATCACTGATCTAGCGTTCAATAGTGTTTATGTTTAACTTCAATCAATTCACAATATTCTACAACCATATTCAATTGTCTTTGGCAGGTAACTGCCTCACATCTGGCACAGTTGAACTCCACTGGTCTCATACTAAAAAAGAACAGCTATCCAAAGAGTTCAGGTTCTTTATAGTCGATAACGATTTCTTGTGTCAGTAAAATTAAATTCTTTCCGTGGTACTCTTCACTGTTTCTAAAAATGAATCACAGTTTTTTTTATTTTATTTTTAATAATAAAGTTCATCTATGCACAATGTCAAAGTTGATCATCATTTCTTATGTTGTATTGTGCAAAATTTATCGATCATTATCTGTTTGTAATCTTTCTTTTTAATGATAAAACTGTTTTCTTTTGTACTTTTATTGTATGTGTGTGTGAAGGTGACAGAAAGAGAGAGAGTAATAGATGAACAGAATGTGTCAGTAGTATTGTTTTATCAATGAAATAAAATGAAAAGTGAGAAGTAGTGACCAGTGGACTTCAATCAGGTCTATTGTGAGATAGTAACTCACTGATGACAATGATGAATGTGTTGCTCAATTTCGTGGAATGGTTGGATTTAGACATTAACAGGTGAGGTCGTGGATGCGAATTGCTTAAGAGTCCTACAATAGGACGAAATGGTCGTCCAGTGCTTCCAGGTTTTCCATGGTAATCTGGCTCCAAATGACTCATGATTTCAACTACTGAAATTACCATAATATCCATAAAAGCCCCTTCTGAAAATAAGTAAAACAGTTATTACACAAATGGTATAACTAATTAGAACTGAATTATAAAATGCAATAAAGAGATGATATAATCGACAAACATTAAAATAATATAACCACTTCACCATGGTGACAAGATTTTTACTACATTTTTATTCTATGTACAAACATTAGGTCAAAAGCGCCTCTTCAAAGCAGAGTATAAGTGGCGTTTGCTGTTTATTGATTATTTTCGACAGTTTTGTGATATCCGGGTCGTGTTCACTATTCGTTAACTGTCTAGTGACTGTACGTGTGAATACTTCACTTAATTTCAAACGAATAGTTTTAGGAATATGTTCGGAAAATCTTGTAGATGCCCTTCTTTCAGTCCTTCCTATGTACTTGCTTTCATAAGTACATGTAAATTTATGAATATATTTGAAAACGACGTTAGAACTGTATTAATCGACTTTTGGCTGGTTTAAACAACATCTACTGTTATGTACTGAAAAGAGTTGGGCTTCCGCAAAGCTTCTTTGAAGCTCTGCTTCATTCCTTTAAGTGATTCTATTTGAAATTTCATCTCCATTTGAATACATTTATTATTTATGTGAACACATAAATATTGGCACAAAGTGGCACCGAATAAATACACGTCACACAAGTCACTTGATTTGTGTGTGGGCTATGACACTGCCCCGGTGCCCAAACCGAAAAAGTTGGTTTTCTTACTGAGACCCAACCAGAGTCTTCCACGTAAAGGTATGATGCACAAGGCAGTGGAACAACCTCAGGAGATACAATCACATAGTAGCCGGTGACCAACGGTTGGTTCATACACTATTTGTTCCTTCAGGATCCTGGAGCCCATGTGCAGCACTAGTTAGGAATCAGGGTTTTCCAACTCCACTAAGAGGGTCCTCCATATCTGTTGTAACGTGTGGTGACTGCAAATTAGATACGCAGCGTTTTATCGATCGATTCAGTGACACGTAAACACGTAATGAACGACCTAGAGTCCCGATTGGCCCCGCTTCGCTGTCTAGCCCGGCCAGTTGAGTCCAGAACACAAGTCACAACCTCTGAGATATGAATCATTATATTCCAGATATACTCTGTTTATATACCAACCAAACAAACCACGTCGTACCATAAAATAGAAAACAACATTTACACAATATTTAACAAGTGAAATAAATATCGACCAATAGGGAGTGTACATTTAAAGTCCAAGGCCACCATTAGACTTAACACGATAATTATTGGTATATTTTTCTGAACATCCTAACAATATCCATCAATCTGTTTAAAGCGCTGGACATTCGCTTTTCGTCCTCTCAATTTCGTAGACAACAGCTCCGCCTTGAGAAGACAGTGAGTAGGTCTGCTCTGACAGCGACTGTATACGCGTGACCATGTGAGAGTATTTCGACAGAAAGAGGTGACTCTCTTCACCTTCGGTCTTGCCAGGGCATTTAAGGGCAAGATAGATGAAGATGGATTTTTGGTTAAGAATTGTTCAACCGACTCATGAGTTCAATCTGTGAAAATTTCTAAAAAATCTCCACAAAACACATTCTGATAATAAGAATTGTTTGCTTGGAGCTTTCCGTGAACATTTTTTCGTTCTTCATGATACAGTACGTTGGATACCCATTTTTTATAAAGTATCCCTTAATGCATGGTATTTCTTCCATTATTTTATGGGTTGAACATAATTCTCTAACCCTGTTAAATTTGATTTGATTACGGTAAGTAAAACGTTGCTGATATAAATTTAATTCGTTTACAACCGATAAGAAGCCTTAAAATATAATAGATTCACGTTATTCTTGTTGTCCTCACTTTGTTTAAATTTTCATTGTTGAAATCACGGATTGATGTTAGCTCGATCAGCACAGCGAATCTGGTAGTACCGTTCTAATATGGGACTCTTTAATATTAAGCATCCGCGACCCTGTCACCAGGAATCGAATCGAGGACCTTCGGTCTTGTGCGTAAACGATTAACCTCTAGATCATTGAGCCGGAATTGAACAATGTTAGTGTTTTAACTGTAAAAATATCACAATTTTGGAAAAATTTTGATACTAAATATTTAGATTTATCAAGGAATCAGTATGTGAATGGTTATAGTTAATTCACCAAACAGTTATGGTTGTTTTCATTTGTTTATTCTAGCCTATTTTGGTAGGTTGTATTCCTTCTCTATTGCTACACAAATATCAAACGTATGTTTATCAAGGACATAGAAGGCCTGCATAATTATTCAAGCGTGGTCTGGGTTATTGCCCGGTTACAAAAACCATAGTAGGTGGTTTTCTTCGGAGACCACTCTCCGAGATATTAATCTAAGTATCTAATCTATAAGAAAGGGAGGGGGAATGCTAAGAGTTCCCGTCCCATGGTAGTCAGTGAGCAAAATAGGCTCATACGGTATTCGTTACCTCAGAATCCTGGTGTCTGTGTGCACCATTGTTTTGAAATCAAGATTTTTCAGTTTCTGTTCTTCGAATCTCACTGTTATCACAATTTTTTGTCACTATGGTATGGTAGATGACTGTGTAGCAGTGTCATCTGTCCGTCACGATTTCTTGATTGGGTACTTAGAGATGAAACAACTCAGTCTCTCTACACGTTGTCAAACGCGATTTGGAATAGAAGCCAATGACTAGCTTACACTTCCTCCCTAAACAAAAAACTTTATCTTGGCTGTAATTTTAACTTAACTGTATTATAATCCTTATCCCTTCATTATTTCTTTACAATGTTACTACGACATTTTGTATGTTTCCTTCTATTTTCTGATGACTAATTATTCCAGAATCGATGAATATTAAGTTGATAAGTCAGGCTTAGCACATTTCAGAATAGTGTTTTTACGGGTCAGGGTTTGTCAACCCTATGTCGAACTCCCATCTATTACTCTGGCTGGAAGCCACCAGTAACCCTAGAAATGTTTCAGATAAAGTTTATTAGGTATTCTAATTAATTAAGCCTACCACGAAATTCCGGTAGAATGTTGTTATTGTTAAGGTGAGAAGTTCAACGATGCCAAAAGTGAGTCAATTTTTTGGCTAAATAGAACTGAATGATGTTTTAGCATACCGTGAATCAATTAAAGTTGTGTCTAAGAAATAGCGAACTTCAGGATTACGTACCTCCTCCGTGAGATTTGAAACAGCTGTTCACAGCTTCTACCATTTACCTGTATTTTGGCTGCTGTCAGTCTGTGAAAGAAAACATAATGATATGGTTGGATTATAGATAGAAATGTAGTCTAGGGTATGCGTTTCATTATATTCGTCATTCTTCAGCTAGACTGAACTTAATTAATTCTGATGATCGGAGTGAGATTAAAACCAAGTAACTACCAGGATGAATGATGCATCTAGGGTCCCATTACTAGAAACAATCTATTTATTTCAAAGCTCTATTGACCCAATCTCTAAGGGATCCATACATGCGAGGTAGGTGGTGATATTGTTTATTTACTCAGATTTGTGATTTAGTGAATTTAGATCGTCGAACCGATAACATGAAACGGATGTCAGCATAAAAGCATTTATGACTCACTGAAAGATCTAGTTATAAACTGATCTTTGAAGTGTCTTAGCAAAACATGGTGTGCTTGACGACAACAAAAATCGATTATAAATGTTTCAGATCCTATAAACTATTTAGAATCAATTTACACATATTTCATTATCATTACTTCTGAATGTATGAATTCTTAATTCTGACTGTTTGTGTCCTCATCGACTGAAGCGGCTTACTTGCACCCAGATCATTCCTTATGAGGTTATTCTCAACGTTTCCAATATTCATTAAGTGTGTCGTACACTGAACTTTCCATCGGTTTCTAGTTTATATAGTGAGCGAATGCTACATATGACAGCAATTTTCATTTCTTTTTGCATTTCAAGTGACTGAAATTATCCATTGTTGTTTACTGTGAACATGTCCAGTGTAACCAACTTCAACATTCTTCAATATGTATTAGTCGCCTACTGAACTAATTACCTCTAGACCATCATTGAAAGATGGGAAGTAATCGACAGTTGTTTTCTCCTAATATGGAACTCCTTAACAATACGCACTTGGAATAAAACCAATGACTTTTGACGTACAAATACTTAACTCCTAGACCACTGAGCCGACATCCAATGATGCACATGTTAAACTTCAAAAAATCTACAATACTGTCCAATCCTCTTTCATTAGTTGTGGTGAATAACTGTTTCACACTCGACAATCATTGACCTTTACCGATCATGACTTCTCGATAGGATTCCCAAGGTTCCATCTTAAAGCTAGTCACTAGTGAGCACATAATTATTATTAATACAAGTGGATTTGCGGAAATTATAGAAATGTTATTGAAAATTTCTTTTACAAAATTTGTCAGTTAATACAATCAGTCATATCGATGAACTGATATAAAACGTACAAGTGTCTGACATTGAAATTCAAGATGTATATTTCGTTCTTACGATGACTCGTCAATTGGATGTATATGGATCATCTCAATATTGATATACATCAAACGGAGATTTGCATCACTTACCTTTATTTTTAATAATAATCACCACAACGCCATACTGATAACTACCATGTGCTCTATTAGTGACTAGCTTTGTGACGAAATTCTCAGAGTTCTAGTGAGAAGCCGTGACCAGTAGAGCTAATCCGCGTCAGGTAGAGACAGGTATCTACCTCAGTACGATTGAGGTTAGACATTAGCGCCATTGGACGCCGACTCAGTAGTCTAGAGGTTAAGCGTTCGAGCATAAAGCCGAAGTCCCTGGATTCGAATTTCGTGAGGCGGAATCATAGATGCTCACTGTTGAGATGTCCCACAATAGGACAAAACGTTCACCAAGTACTTTCAAATTTTCAATGGTGCTCTAACATCAATCAGTTCATGATCTCAAATAGATACAAAAACGTTTTCTAAACTTAATCATAAATCTTCACAAACCACAATTGTTAATTGTTTGTTTCAAAATGTTGATTAATCATATGAGATGAATAGAGAAAAAAAAGAAAAGAAAAGAAAAGAAAAGAATTAAACGGATCACTCAAAACAAGTAACATGTGATGTATATTTACATTTTGATGATGATGCTGATGATGACGATTGCCCTCTTTGTTGAATTGATTATTTTCATTTCTTCTCTTTTCTTTTCTTTTTCTTTTTCTTTCTTTTCTTTTTTTTCTTCTTTAGCAAGGTTTTACAATTTTGCATTTCATTTCTGAATCGAATGCTATTTCAATATTAAAATATTTACATCGTAAATCATTAACATTAGAATATGATGTTGCAGATAATGTAAGTTGTGAAGGTTGTTGCTTTTCTTTCTTTTTTTGTTTCTTTTTTCTCTTTTTTTCATTTTCTTGTTAAACATAAATTTATGCGTGTGTGTGTGTGTGTGCTAAAATAGAAAACAAAATTTTCATTATTAACTGAATAAATTATATAGGTGAGTATAGTGATTTAATCATCTTGAAAGAATCCTAAAGGATGAGTTTATATTGAAGATTGTACAATTATACAAAGATCAATTTACTTACTCGTGTAGAGTTAGATAGGTAGGTCAATCGTCAAGGCTAATGTCACAACGCATTTGATAGCATCTACCAGCATAGCTTAACACATGTCGAAATAAGTTGATCATATAATCAACTCTTCAATATGTATTAGACATAAAACATTCAACGTTCACCTTATCCTTTGACGTCATTTACAGAATGCAATCAAATATACTTTAGATCACTAACTCAGATGATCTATGTCGAATGATTGAGGGCCTACTCAAGTTAGACGGAAATGGTGTGACTAAAAGCCAACTTCAAAGTAACACCTCATGATCAGCACCTAACATGGATTACCTCTTCGTTGTATCAAGGTAGGATGGCTGCTTTGAAGACTGTATAACACGAAAGACGTCATTACAACAATGTATTAGTAAAGGTAGATACAAGGAAGCAGTTGCAACCACCACCTCATGGGCCAGTCCATGGTGTGCAATTAGTTGATGCGCGTTGGTTGTTCTTGACCTTGACACGAATCGATGATCTGTTCAATATTCAGTGACCCAACTACCGGATCATTTGGCTAAGGCTCAATAACATTTCACTGACCCTACAATACCAACCTATTTTACATCAAATAAGCTTTGGTCAACTGTAATTTCAGACTTTCGTTGAGCATACAAAAAGGATTTGTCAGATTCCTGTCTCTTACATTTGTAAATGAGGACCGTGATTTACAGAAGAGTTTGCATTATCTGTTTTCCAATGTTTATTACGTGTGAAATATCAAGCATTTTCCAACAGGTCTTTGTTTATTTAGTTGGTGTATGCAGAATGTAAGAGCATAATTTTCACTAGGGACTTCATTTTATGCAGGGACTTTCTACAGATTGATGTCTTTTATTTCGTGTATTGTGATTCGTTTCGTTGATCGTTCATGGTAGACGAATCTGTGGAAACCTGCAAGTGTTTGGGATTAAATTTTCAAGTTAAAATCATACTCCAACATACACGACTCATTCATTAAATGATCGAGAGAACACTCGATAATACTACCATACTGAAGACTTATTGAAGGTTGTGAGATGAATGGATAAATTCACACTATCGTACTACATACAATTTATTATGTTTGTTATCAGAGTTGATGTTTCCGCTTAGATTTCTTGACTACTTCTATTGACATAACTCCGTCATTACAACAACAACAACACTACTCCCAGTTACACCTTTCCCTTCTCATACTACTTAAATATCTTGCCTTAACAACTCTATTTCTCGATATAGCGTTGTAGAAACTGTTAAATTTTATTGAAATGACTAACCGATCAAAATTGAGATGTTCGGCATTTGTATGTGTGACTGAAGATCATTGGTTCAACTCCTGATTATGGGTTGTGGATGCGTACTGCTAAGCAATCCAATACATGGGTGAAATAGCTGTCCAATGATTATCTTACGTAAATCGGTTAGTCATTTCAATGAAATTCAATAATTTCCACAACTCCATACTGACAGTTCTATAGTTAATCAAACTGTATGAGGAGAGGTTATTTATGTATAAATAGTCTCAATTATTAACACATTTGGGTAAATGTGAGTATGTTTATGAATGGCTATTAGTTAGTCCCTATTTAGATTGACTATGTGCTTCAGTTTAAATCAGTGACCATTTAGATATCATTCAGTTAAATATAATTCAATCAGTTTCTATTGAGGATTCATCCAAGAGATTAGATAAACTATGTTCTCTCTTTATCGTTTGCTCTACGTTTGTAAGAACCTTGACAACTTAAATTTGACACAGTTTCATCCTGGTAAACTATGAAGTAAAGTAATATACTAACATCTTGGGCCAGTTACACATCAACCAAGAAATAAGCATATGTTATTGGTCATTAGTTACCTTCGTTTTCCAAAGGAAAGCGGTACATATCATTGGTTGAAAATGCGACTCTATGAATGAGTGTACAGATGTTATCAATCCTTCTAGCTCACTTTTTACCATCTCACTTTAGTCACTGGTTTAAATTCGCGTGTAAGAAGCCTAGAAATCAATATCAGTACTCGGACGATTGCACAATATAACACTTATCGTATTTGGATTTTATTTCTTTATTTAAACACATAAACATTACTACAAGGAAGCATCAAATACATGTGTGAGAGCTAGAATACTACCTGGGTTCTCAATTCGAAACAGGTATTTTTCCTAGAGGGCCAATCGCCGAGCTTTTAACCTAGAGGTCTGATCCACAAGGCAGTAGAACAAGGTTAAGCGATGTAGTGCCACTGTAACTGGTGACCGACAATAGGTTCATACGCTATTGATTCCCTCAAGATCTTGTAGCCAATGTGTAGCATTAGTTTGGAATCAGGGTTTTCCAACTCCATTGAGTGGATCCTCCATATCCACCAACCCCTTTAAAGCACCGAACATTCACTTTTCGTCCTCTCAATTTCGTAGACAACAGCTTCGCCTTGAGAAGACAGTGAGTAGGTCTTCTCTGACAGCGGCTATATACGCGTGACCATGTGAGGGTATTTCGACAGAGAGAAGTGACTCTCTTCACCCTTAGTCGTACCAGAGTATTTGAGAACCTTATTTGGATTTAGTTCACTTGATTCAATTCGAGAATGCGAAAAAAGTACTTAAAACAGATAATGATACTTGAAGAAAATTACCTTTGAATAGGTCTATGTTATGGTTGTTATTAGTAGTGATGAATTCATAGTTTTGTTGTTTTTTTTCAACTTCTTGTTCTTCTACCACTTAACTATGCATCAGTCAATTGTTAGAAATAAAATTGAAATTTTACAATCCATCATCATAAGTGGATAATGTACAAGATGAATTGTAGTAACTAATACCTTAATGTGTACATTCATACACTTATACATAGATAAGTAAATAATCATTACTCTTATTATTTTTAAAACGTCTCAACACAAGATGTACAGATGTCCAATAGAAGTCTTGTCTTGATTGAGATCATGAATTGATTAATATTAGATTACTATTGAACACTTGGAAGCACTGGATAGCTTTTTCATACTAGTATGAGATGCTTTAGCAGCGCACCGCTTAGTGCTTCCAGGTTTTCACTGGTGGTCTAACATTGATCAATTGATGATCTCAATTAAAATTCAACAATCTCCACAACCCTATACTGAGAAGTCTTGTGTTTCTTTTTGAAAACCTTTACATTATGATTAGCTGTCATTCATATTCATTTTGTAATTGTTTGCTATCACTCTCGCCTCCATAACAACATTTTACACCATTCAGCATATTTATTGTATGAATTCGATCGTTCCTTCTTTTAAAGTACAAAGGAGAAGTAGAAGGAAAGTAGTATGAATCAGCTTCGTGGAGTAATTTAACCATTCATTGAATCATATCATTGTACTTTAACATACAATCTACTTAGAGCACCATCTTAAATTCACTTTTGTTTTGGTTACATAATAGATCTTTTAATCAACAGTTGTTGCTCATTTCCATCTCGTTACTAAGATCATACATACATATCTGTTACTGTACTTTAAGTTTTGTGTTATCATCATTCTGATTGATTAATCTAAGGTCATCAGTATAATATACTTATATCATTAGTAATAAATCTATAATAGAATAACATATAGCAACAGTTTATGAATTAAATGAAAGATTACAACTTGGAGAATATAATATACATTTATCATTAAACGCAAGACCATAAACTATGGACGAACTAATCAGGAGTGAATGGGTGAGTTCAAAGTCATGGCACCAGTTTTAGTAACCACTGCTCACATACGATCGGTTTACAATGGATTTCAAGGAGGATGTTATAGTTGAGCAGATAGAGTAGATGAAATTACTGAGAAGTTACTTTGTTTGTGATTGTGGTGTTCAAATGACTACTGGACATTGTGGAGTCTATTGTGATGACGTTGTATTTCGATGTAATAAATGTTGGAGGAAAACGTCTGCTAGAACGAGGATTTTTTCTCCACTTGATCCCAATTGACACTAAGATAGGTTATGATAACTGTTGCAAACTGGATAATAAAAGTGCCAGTAATACTGTTTGCAACCTTTGCAATTGACAGTTCAGTGGTATGAGTATTGCCGAAATATATGTGAATGAAAATGACAGGACTGAATCCGTCGTTTGAAGGATTCGAGAGAATCGTATGCATTACGATTACAGGACTGCAGAGTGTCTTTCTAGCCTTGAAAAGTTTTTAAACCGTGTTAAAGAAGTATATCCATTCTAATTTTTTTGGTTTTATATAATATATTCCTACTCTAAACCGACTGGCTGAAGTTTCTCAGGGTCACTTAAGATACACCCGAAGGTTTTCCATAAATTATAGTCTCGCTCTGTCCTTTTTTCAATGTTCAGTAAAGGTGTAATATGTCTTCTATGGACAAGATATTGTAGTGCATTTCAACTTGCCGGATGAATTAAGTAAATTATGAGAAAATTAGAGCTTGAAATAAAATCTACAATGAAATTTATTTTAAATAGTTGAATTCATGAGTCAAGTGAAGCTAGAGCACCACGAAAAACCTGAAAGGACTGTACGGCAGTTTCGCCCTAGTACGGGACTCCTCAGCAACTGTGTCATTTGTCTACCGCGTAATATCATGGATTGGTTCAAGTTAGACTTACATACTATCAAGTGCCAGCTAAATGGTTTGGAGGTCGAACGTTTGTGATAGTTCCAGAATATTTATTATCCAGTTTTAATTATCTAATGTAACAAAAACTGTAGGAAATTTATAAAGACAGGGATGGATATGTTTGTCATACTCACTAGACAATGATTACAACCAATGTAAGAACATGAATGAGAAAAAGGCTCCAACTATTTAACTGGTCTCAGTCACAACGGTAGACCACGGTTAACCGCTGACCGTTAGCCACAGCTTCCGCAGCTTTTAAAGACGTACCATTGAATTATGTTGTTGATTCCTTTGAATATATTCTAAGCATCTAGTTCGCTCCTAGTGTTTAATAGTTGGCTTGCTATGAAATTAAAGAGAGAATATCAAGTCATCGAAGAAGTAGGTTCTTGAAAATATGACTGTCTTTAATGTTAACCTTGTATAAAGATTATTTTCCCTATCAGTAAATGAATGAATACATAGACTGTAAAACGACGATTCACGAAAGACTAGAACATTCAGCATTAAAATCACCAAACTAAACTCACGATTAAATGATAAAAGTTTACAGATCCGATGAAAACTTCAGATGATGACGGGAATGAGCACAATAATTTATTTTCTATTGTTTGTTTGAATTTTCCAATTGATGTTTAAGACTGTAATTGACCAGTCTCTTATTGACATAAGTACATCCTATACGTATTGCTTCGATATTACTTTAAGTCACAATCATCAACTCTGAGATGTAGATACATTCAGTTGACGAATCTCGGATGGGACGAAACATGCGTCTTGAATTCTATTGCTAGTCACCATTCATCTTTATTAAGTTTGTCACTTTGCACTTGAACTTGTTCATGATAACACTTTTTTTAATAAATTTATTTTATTAGAATGGAATGACTCCATTTATAATAGCTGCTTCCAAAGGAAATGAATTATTAATGGAGATTTTGGTTAAACGAAACTGTAATGTGAATGCAACAGATCTGGTAAGTTAGAATGGAATTTATATACAGTTTAAATCAAATGTTATGCTTGAATTATTTGGTGAGACTAGAATTTATGGACGAAACCAATCAGGCGTATAAGATAACAGATCTGGGATTTTGGCGCGAAATTCACTCATCCATTTGGATAAATAGGGTCTTGTCATTATAACTGCATGTCGGTTCGTGATGGAAACCCGAAATCTAATTCCTAACCTTGACCGTCAACTGTAAATGAGAATTCTAATTCCTCACACACAGGTTCATAACCCTCATTTGATCCTAGTTATTAGGTGAACACTCTCAAGTTCAGTCTGGTGTCGCTCAACGGTCGTCCATAAATTTTAGTCTCACCAATTATTCTATGAAAGCACAATATAATAGTTATATTAATGAATTTAACCTAGTATAAACACATTGATCGTCTATGATAATACGTCGAATAGAGCTAAATAGATATAGTAGTTAGGCTTACATTTCATGATGATTCAATAAAGCTATATTAGCTGCAGCACATACTGCTTCTGGTTCTACCATAGTAGATAGGTTGGTTGGAAGGCTGTAAGACCGAAGTAACAGAATAATAATCCTGGGACAATGTTGTACTTTTGATTGTGAGATTTCCTGTCAGAAACCAGTGTCTGTAATAATGTCATCTCCTCATAATAGAAGGGGGTTTGAAATGTTGAGAATATTAACAGAACATCTCGTCTTAGTCCTATTGTGATGCATGCTACTTATTTCTGTTGACATAAGTAGTATATAACACCAATTAGAAGTGTAATAACTTGTGAATTGAATGCTGACTGTATTAACTCTTTTAACGCCACCTTTTAATATCTGGTCGTCGCTGATTGTTGTGTCAGAAACGCTTATCACTTATACTCGGAACGAGGGACCTCTGCAATTCCCACGACGCGGAAGTAGGAACACAAAGACTGGTTTAAGTTATTATTTATTAACCCCAAATTATGACAACGAAGACTCTAGGAGAAAATACACACATTTATATATTGATTGTACACCCATTTTTGATTAATAATTAGGATGAAATCACATATTTATGAAAAATACTTAGAGTTATAACAAATCACATAGTGAGCATAGTTCATGTCCATTGAATACAAGAATATCTCACATATTATACAGGAAAGAATATCATTCGACAAAACAAAGCAAATACTTCACTGAATGATAATCACATTGAATCAGAACGGAAGTAATCTTGAACAAAACTCATAATGAGTAAATCAAATCGAATTTTGACTTTTCTTTCCATCATCTCAAGAAGTGAAAAACCTGGCAGTAGAAGGTCGGAAAGTTCAAATCGAAGAGAACAGGGTCAGGGAGTAATTGTAAGAACAATAAAAGAACGATGACGTTTGAGAAAATTTCTGTAAAACTTGCAAATGAAGTATTGAAAACCTGAAAGCACTGGACGGCCGTTTCTTCCAGTGGTGGTCTAACATAAATCGGTTAATAATGTCAATGAAGTAGTTATATTCACTTTATTCACTGTTGTAATTACATTCTCTAAACCCATGTTACAGTTATTTCCAGTTGTTGAGTATTCGTTAAACATTCTTTTACCATGCTTTTGTGTTCTTAATCTCCATTCGATTGTTGATAGTCACTACTGATTTCAGACACAATTATCGATTACCATTTACCCTATTGTATGTACGGGTAACGGCTTGTAACTAATTGTCATATTGATATGTCTCGCGAGGCGGGGTCGTGGATGCGCACTGCTGAGGAGTCCCACAATAGGACGAAACGATCGTCCATTACTTCCAAGTTTTCCATGGTGGTCTAACTTCAATTGGCTCATGATCTCTATTATTAAAATTACTATAATATCCACACGGAAAAATCCATTCTGATACTAAAATAATATTGTTTCATATGCTTATATGGATTCTTAATGAGTTATGCCAACTATCTTGATAATCAACCTTATTATATACCAAAACGTCAATTATAGATTTTAAGTTCATCATTAAATGATAAATGGACAGTACATTGTTCAACTTTAAAACGATTAACCATTGTAGAGATGCTAAATTATCAGTAGTATAGTAATATCGATGTCAATAGTGTAATATAACTATAAATAATTATAGAAACTAAGAAAATGCAATATGAAGAATATGATATCTATGGTAATAAATAATGTTCCAATTACTTTGCATACCATAATGAAATAAGGATGATCTAACTTGTATATGTATATTCAATGTTACAATTACAGTCTTAGGTATGTTTGTAATTTATAACATGTAAAATCTATACATATGGTTCTATCTGTTGAAGAATCCAGTCAAACGGCGGAGATACGTATGAAATCATGGTTCAAAATAACGATATATCTAAACAACTCTTTAACTTTCAATGGTTGAAATCGTGAGTCATTTGAAGCCAGACCATCATTGAAAACCTGGAAGCAACTGGACGGTCATTTCGTCCTACTGTGACACTCCTCAACATTGTACATCCACGATCCCGACTCACGAGATTCAAATCCAGGACCTATCGGTCTCGCGCGTGAACGCTTAACATCTAGACCACTAAGCCGGCATCCAACAGTGTTAATGTCTAACTTCAACTAATCCACGAAATTGACTGACACATCCACCATTCTCATCATTGAGTTACTATCTCACAACAGATCCGGTTGAACTCCACTGGTCACCGTTTCTCACTAGAAGTCCAAGAAAATACCTCTTGAAGCCAGTCACTAGTGAGCATATACTGATTGGTATCAGAAGGAATGTTTGTGGATATTATAGTAATTTTAATAGTAGAGATCATGAGCCAATTGAAGCTAGACCACCATGGAAAACTTGGAAGTAATGGACGATCGTTACATCCTATTGTGGGACTCCTCAGCAGTGCGCATCCACGACCCCGCCTCGCGAGACATATCAATATGACAATTAGTTACAAGCCGTTACCCGTACATACAATAGGGTAAATGGTAATCGATAATTGTGTCTGAAATCAGTAGTGACTATCAACAATCGAATGGAGATTAAGAACACAAAAGCATGGTAAAAGAATGTTTAACGAATACTCAACAACTGGAAATAACTGTAACATGGGTTTAGAGAATGTAATTACAACAGTGAATAAAGTGAATATAACTACTTCATTGACATTATTAACCGATTTAAGTTAAACCACCGCTGGAAACCTGGAAGCACTGGATGGCCTTTTTGTTCTAGTATGGAACTCCTCACTAGTGCGCATCTAAGAACTCGTCACTGGGGATTGAACCCAGAACCTTTGATCTCATGAGCGAACGCTTAATCTCTAGATCAATGAGCAGGCATCCTATTATATTAATGTCTAACCACGATCAATCCTCGACATTGCGCGACCCTCTTCTATTATCTTCGGTGTGTAACTGCTTCACTCGACACGATTGAACTACACTATTCATCTTACTAGGACTCTGGAAGTTTCCTCTAGAAACTAATTACCAGCGAGCATTTGATAATTTTCAGTATGTGATTGTTTAGATTATTGCATGTCATTCATATCATGAATATTCCTATTCAATGTAAATGCAATCCATATTCATTAAACCGCACATTCAGAAATTATTAGAAATGGAACTGCTTACTGAATATTATTTAGTAATATATTACTTAGTAATATAAAGCAATACATAGAAATAAGTTGAACGAAGGAAGAATTAAGAAAGAATGCATTTGATGAAAATAATCATTATCATCCTAAAGTCATTTTAACTATTGTTTATATCCTCATTTAGATTTGACTTAATTCTTCCCGACATCAATACTAATGTTTGTGGAGATTACTGAATGCCATTGATATCCGTAAGCAATCTAAGTTAGATAATTATTGGAAACTGAGGAATACTGGACAGCTGACTTTGTTTCTAACATTGGATTTCTCATTAGTGCACATTACCGACCAAGCCATCGGGAACTGTATCCAGGATAGTCAGGCCTCTTCGAGAGAGGTTTAAATTCAAGATACTGAGCCATCATTCATTGATTTACATGTTTAACTTCAATCCATTCATGATATTGTGTGAACATATCCATCTGTGTTCTATAGATAACTGCCTCAAACCCAACACCGCTTAATTCTACTGCTTATGGCTTCTTACTAGAATTAGTCTAGATAAAATAATCACATTCCATGGTGTGAATTACTCAGTCGATTCCAATTTACGAATGTTTTTCTTTTACGAACAAACGAGTGAACAAGATTTCCATAATAAAGTTTACCTCGTCATCATTTCAAAACACTTCATCAGTTGGACTATAAATGGTTCAAAGTTAAGAAACGAACATGTTTGAATAACAGAAACAAAACATTCGACATAATGAAGTTGAGCAAATGTCTGGTTTACGTCACCAATTAATAAGTATTGTAAACCAGAATCTTTGAATGTCTGTTTCGTCCCAGTATGTGGTCTACAAGTTGAATGTATCTACGATGCCCCCATGGACTGAACCCAAGGATTTCCTGATTTCTAAGTGTGGGTTTCAACTTTGAACTCATGCACCAATAATAATCATTTTGTTACTAGTGACTAGCCTAATAAAATGATTCCCATAGTTCTAATGGGAGGCCTTGACATATGGAGCTCATATATGTTGAATATGAGTCAGATGCTTATAAAAGGCTTACAAAGATGGTTTTGCAATAACATGAATAGATTGACGTTATACTGGTAAACCGCTGGATGGTCTCTTAATAGTCTCAAGTCTTGTCATTCCCCTAGTCACCTTAAAGTGATGTACTTCCTGAATTTCTAATTAAGATCAATTCATGATTTAAACTATGAAATTTGGTCATTTCTGCAAGCATTCCATGGTAAAACTGAAGTACAAATGTAACTAGTCTATATATACATATCTTATATTGGTTCTTGTTTTTCAGTATGGTCGAAATGCATTACATTTCGTCGCAAAAAATGGTCATATCGATGCATTATACTACTTATTGTCTGTGGAATTACTTAAAACAAAAATCGATGAACTAGTAAGTGATTGATCATTAATAGTTAAAACTAATCAACATTACATTTGATTGTTTCCTGTATAGTAGTTAACAACTAACCAAAAAGAAATATGAATTCCCCAATGTAGGTAACATTAAGTCTAGCATGATTACTTGTTGATCTAAGATGATGAAAAGTTCAACATTTAAAAGAATCGAGAATTTAAGTGGAACTGTGGTGTATGTGAATGTTGTTAATATATATCATCTAATATCTCCCAAAATTGATCCTCAGCATTGCTCAGGCACCAACACAGATAGTGTCAACACCTATCATCATCATCATCACTCAGATTAGAAATCAATAACCTAATGGATCGACATCATATTAAGAATTAAGAACGATGTAGTACATCCATTACCGAACAAACTTAAGTTGTATTTCAGAATTTAAAGGCCAAAGAGGGTTGGCAGCAAAACCTACTTGACTTTCGGGTTTATACGGGTTGGTAGTCATCAGTAAGACGTGACTAAAACCTCGTGCTAATCGATGCACCATATTGGATTATATCCTGTATTAATTAGTTTTATGGTTTGAAACGTTAACACTGACCTGATTACTTGCAGTCGCTTAAAATTTGAACATAGAGCATATGATATCTATTCAACTATACTAGTGACCATATTGTAATAGTAATCTTCTCAGGGTGCATATGTTCCAGTAAAAATAGAATAACAACAATTTTGAATATTAATAAGCGACTAATATAAGTTCTTATACATGACCAAATGTTAGCTGACCACATTAGTGTTATATGAACTCAGTAGCAAAGTGGATAATATGGTGTTTGACTTAAGAGATACAGTATTCAGATGTTAATATGATGAACATTAATGCTTAGATGCAGGTCATTTCAACCACCAAGTCTAAAATAAAACGAAATGCACATCCTCGATTCAAACGTTACTATTCAATGTCTTGCTTTACTTATTACTGTAAATATTTGTCAGTAGTATAATTATATATAGAAAATAACTCTCATTTCTCCCCTGGATCCGAATCCTTTCTATTCAAACCCTCAAAAAGTTATCCACTTAGTGGGTCTGTTCTGTACAAACCTGTGACATAATGGCTATAATAAGGTAACCCATAAAGAATACCCAGATGTTAATTAAAACTGATCAAAATTTAGTCAAAATATCGACAATGGGTTAAACCTAGAACACTACAAATTCAATTAGAATTCATATCCTGTGCCCAAGTAAGTGACTGACTGAAGTCAATAGATAAGTGAGTGATACGCTGGGTTTTTGAAGCGAAAGGTAGCGATTCCAAATTCCAGAGTGAAACGAATAGCCGTCTCTTCGGCAGTTATACCTAGCTAATGAGTTCTAAATAGGACGAAACGCTCATACTCGATTCCACTACTAACTAAATTTCATATATTCCGTCTAAACAATCTAACTGTATTCTAAAATTTGGTTATGAGACTGTTTTATTAGGCAAATCAATCTTATCGTAGAAATTCGATGTCGAAATGATTAAAACATCCAAACTTCTGTCTGTAAATCTCCAAGTTTAAACTTTACTTCGCCTAATTCGAATTGTCCTTCCTCAAAATGTTATCAGCTTCAATATCTATTTTTCCATCATCCTTGAACTGATAAGAAGGATTCATCAAGTTACTAAATGATAATTATTCACTTTAAAATCCGACTGAGTCTTAACAAATTCAGTTGTAGACTATTTCAGTGTATTATTACCTAGTTTATTTTGATAATTTCTGTTGTATATTAATATAATATCTGTTTGGTAAGGACGTTGGAAGTGTGGATAGATAGTACTGAGGGGATAGTGTTGAAAAGTAATTGGATACGTCCCGACCGTTGTTGCTATCTTGACGTGGTGGTCGGGATGGCATATCGTGATGAAGCAACTGAGCTATACTGGCTGGAACGATCGTTCCTCAAAGTCCTACCATGCCAGACAGGTCGGTTGAAGAACGGTAAGAATAAAAGCAACAAACCCAAGGTCCGAAGGCGAAGTCGTACTGCCAACTGTACAGAGGTGTAACGGCAGTCAGGTGTTTCTTTCAGACAACCAGCATAATAACAGCGATGCGGCCTTCCCACAAGAAGGGGTGGGGTTAGAAAAGGTTGACCCTAAAAATGAACACCTCGCCTTATCTCACGGATATCCGTCTCTAGTGGTAATGTCTCAACAAGTACGGAGCTAACACGAAAATTGCTCACTAAAAGGTCATGTGTGACCGACCTCAAGCAGTTGTCCCTTGGGCACTGCTGTCACGCTTTCAGATCCCTAAGACCACCTATAATCCAATTTCTTTTTCAGGTACCTCCAGAAGGACCCTTACACGATGTGGGCAACTGGGAAATGATAACCTCCCTCATACCTTTAATAGCACTTAAGACCACTGAATTGGATACGTTCATCCCTTTCAAACACTTTTGCATTGATGTTTTCGCGCTGTAAAACAGGAGCAGATTATAACAGTGGTGAAAAAAATGTTCCAGTTGCAATAAATTCTCTTCTAATCAACCCAAAGTCTTTAACCTTCGTTAACTCCGCCTGGAGTTCCTCCGGGGGCTAATGCCGGTCCCAAGCCCAGATAAAGGTGGAGGGTTGTGCATAGGGTTAGCGACCCCATCCCGTAGAAAACTAACTCGCTAAAAAACGCTAACCAGAAAAAATTACTCAAACCTTTTAAACTCTGCTCTTGGTGTCAGGTCTTCATTTGGAAGAGTTATGACACCTCGTGATGAAAGCCGAGTTCTTTCGGAAGTTACGAGGCCGATGCCCCTTCTGACAACCAGAGCAACCATTTATTTAGGTACATGGAATGTTCGTACAATGTAGGACACCGGGAGAGCCTTTAACCTTCATTGGTGATACATTCCGACTGATACGATCAACTTATTTCTGAGATTAACGTACGCTTCTCTCCCATTAATCCATTGATTCCCTGATTCGATTATGAACAAGAAAAGACAGAAGCCTAGCTTCAATGATAATAGATTTTAACAACCCAGCTTCTATTTCAAATACTCATTAGCTTATATACATGATTTCTCGGACTGAGTCATACCAAATACAAAATCATACTTTGTATACAATTATGCTGTAACTGACAGAGAGTGGAATAATAAAACGAATAATGATAGCTAATATGTTCCCCAAAAGCTTACGATAAAGAGAATATGGAAATACAATGACAGTTATCTACTAATTATACAATAAAAGTGTCAGTAATAATAATTCATAAAGTAACCCCAAGAGTTACACTTCTACATTCACTCAGCTATAGCACTTGATATTGATAAATGATGATTATTTCAGTTAGACAATTCACAGTTGATTGATAACTAAACTGACTTACAACCAGTAGGTCCTATGTTCGAATCTCGCAGGGGACGAGGTTGTGGATGCGCACTGATGACAAGTCCCATACTAGTACGAAACGGCCGTCCAGTTCTTCCAGGTTTTCCATGGTGGTCTAGCTTCAATTGACTCATGATTTCAACCAGTGAAACTTCTAAAATCTCCACAAAACGCCTTCTGATAGTGTTACTTTTGTCTAGTCCTTAATACTGAATGAGTTTTATCAATTACATGACAATGTGAAAGCTGGTCTAAGTGAATCGATCCCATGTAGGTGTTCAGAAGTAATCAGGTCAGTTTTAATGCCTTAGACTGTGAAACTGATTAATATGCGTTCGAATCTCATAGGGAGCATCAGTGCTCTCAGGGCTACAGGCACACCATATTGATAATGTTCAGTCAACAAGAAACCCAGATCAAGAAAGATTTCCTGAAGACTAACTAACAGTATTTGAATGTTGTTAATTCGTCATTTATGTAAAACCATACTTGCCTGGCATAATATATACATATACGTACTGTCTTTCATTAATTTCATTTTAGGATAACTCAGGATGTAGTCCATTACATTTGGCCTGTGAAAACAATCAACAACATTGTGTTCGTCTACTTCTAGAAACTGGTGCCAATCCGGACATTGAAACAGAGGTTGGATTATTTTAAGTTTCCTGCTAAATTCCATAAAAACAAGTTGTTTTTTTTGAAAATAGACAATAATTAACCAATAGTTTCTACTTGGTGCCTCTATTGTTATGATATCACCAAATACCCTGGTACTGATGAGGTTAAGACAAATCTTCTCCACCTCTCGAAGTTCCATTATAAGGCCGTTTGTAATTTAAGCAAAGTGAGTCCCACTTACTAGATGGGCCATTTCATGAAAATGAAAAGATTAAAAGCAAATTTCCAGAGACTAAAACGGATTGACAGATTAGGAGGGTCCATCTAGGGGATCTGTAAAATTCTACTTCCAAATGAATGGTGTAAATAAGCTCCAGTATCCTTGGGTAACAAACTGCATGTAAACTTATTTTAGTCACTGGTTGTCATGGAACGCTCTCTGCCGACGTTACTACATTACCTTGTGGATTAAAATTCTAGCTCGTAGGTTCGGGGAGTGTCCATGTAGTAAAATCAACAGCTTCTGTATGAGAACTCCGGGAGTAGCCTATCTCCTATATATGTTCTAGAAGTACATAATGTGATGAGTCTGATAAACTGAAAACTGACGTTTACTGGCTCGTACTTTAGCTACGTAACTTCTTTCCTCCTTCATCAGCTACAGATGATAATATTCATTTGTGTGTACAGTCAGTTAAGTTTGCAACACAATCGCATCAAACATATTAAGAATCATTTTCGTTGAGAGGTTTTAGTGGAGATTACTGTGATTTAGGGATAGAAAGCTTCTGTTTTAAAAAATGCCATGACATTTTTAATAGTACCACTTGTTAAAACCAAAATATAATCACGTACTGAGGGGCCTACCTTGAATTTGGAAAGAGAAAAAGGAAAGAGACATGAAGAATTCAGAAGGTTGGAATTTGGGAAAACACAAAGAGTGGATACACCTGAGCCATTGCAAACGATTTTGAGCCATGTCATTCAGGGTCTCTAACCATCGGTTGCAATCGTCTCGCGGATACCAACCAAATAGTTTAGACCTACCAACATGGCTCAGTCCACTTGTCAGTGACTTCATGGATTTATGTCATGTTTTGGTCTTTCTTCCAAATTACTCTAATAATTCAACTTAATCCATTTTGTAACTAAAAGTGAAAATAGCTGATGAAAATGTCAGATTGTTTTATATATTAACTCAGTTCCTGTTATAACGGTTGGTTTACCACGTTTACATGTATGGGACGTTAATTTACCGTAGACGAATATCTACATTAGATTCCCTCCCAGTGTCTATTATTCTACAAGACTTCAACACAACTCAGATGATCAAGAACACGTGATCAGCCTGACCACAACATAAACATATTTGCACACCAAAACCCGGCACAATCCAACAACAATGAACAATCAATGATAAGTGAATGAGTGATAATAATAAGGATAGGGGAATATATAACTCATCTGACATCTATCAGACTATCTACATGTTTGACTAGGCAAACAACCAATCATTATCATTCTCACCCACACATCAGTTCCAATTAGTAGCTAATAAGTGCTCCCTCATTTTGAATGATACCCCCAACTGATGTTAATCCAACATGAATACTATCTACAAAACACACAAAAAATTAATAAAAATAATAATTAAGGTAAACTGACTGGAATATAAAGAAGATGAGATATAGACACTGATCGAGTTCGTTCATTTCGTAGTTGAGATGGATACTGATTAATTGGATCTGTTATCGTTTAAGATACGATAAATGCTCTATCATTTTCCGTTTTGAACATAAACCCCTATCTTATAACTAACCTGATAAATACTGCTTCAGTCGTTTGATGATCTCTGAGTATGATCAATTTAACCAGTTTACTATTAACATGATCAATTGTTATTGAAGATAATTGTTTTATACTGTATGGCTATCTGACCTTACTTACTTAATTACACCTGTCACTCCTCGTGAAGGAGCATAGGCAGCCCAACAGCACTCTCTATCCAATCCCTTCAGGATTCCAAGTTAGCGCTTACCTCGTGATGCAGTTTGATTGTTTCCAAAATGTACGTCTTATCCATCTCCGAGTGACGGATATTGAGTATCCTCTTTAGACAATTGTTTATAAATACTTGTACTTTATTGATGATGGTTGTGGTAGTAGTTGTTCAAGTTTCAGCTCCGTACAGTAGAACTGTTTTGATGTTTGTATTGAAAGTCATGACTTTGATGTTGGTTAGCAGATAGTTGTTTTGAGTTCTATATGTTCTTTACCTGTAGGAATGCCATTCAGTATATTAATAGTTTAATATGTATTTGTTTAAACCATTTATATTTATCATAGTATATATTCTAGTTCTAGACGGTATTTAGTTCTTGATCAGTTGTCCGATATTTATATCAGAAGGGGTTTTTATGGATAATATAGTAATTTCAATAGATGAGATCATGAGTCAACTGAAGCTAGACTATCATTGAAAACTTGAAGGCACTGGGTGGTCGTTTCGTCCCATTGTGGGACTTCTCAGTGGCAGTGCGTATCCACGACCCCGACTCACGACATTCGAACTCAGGACCTATCAGTCTCGCGCGCGAACGCTTTACATCTAGACTACTAAGCCGGTATTCAACAGTGTTAATGTCTAACTTCACGAAATTATGCGACGCATCCACCATTGTCATTACTGAGTTACTATCTCACAATAGACCTGATTGAACTCCATTGGTCACTGCTTCCAGTGCTTCCAAGCTTTCCATGGTGATCCAGCTTCAATTAACTCATGATCTCGATATTTATGTATATGTTTCTCATGTAAAGCCGTATCTAGTGTCGAATCAAATATAGGCAATAACCAACATTATGGTAAAAGATTCAAACAAATCTGAAGTACATTTATGTTAATTTCTTTTATACTTCCTAGGTCCTTTTAAAACCAAACTTTTTTTCAACTTTTAGACTCGTGATTGTCCTTTGATCGAATGTTCTCGGAGAGGATTTCACAAGTGTATTGATTTGCTTATTGAAAATAAAGCAAGTCGTGAGAAAACAAGCAAAGTAAGCCAATAATGTACACATAACATATATGTATACACTGATCAGTTAGTTAGTCGTAATCAATGTTGTTTTTAAGGAAAGACGGATAGTGGCTAGCACTGGAATCCAGGGCGTGCGTTTCTTCCTATTTGGGACTCATCAGCTGGATGTACCTACATCTATGAGTAGGTGTCCACTCCGTTACTCAAACCCAGCAGCGTTCGCTTCAAGCGCCATCACATTATCCACTTGGCTACAGAGTCCTGATAACCGTCTGTTTGTGCAGTGAGGTGAAGTTTAAATTCACTTGGTATTGTTTACTTGTATCTTCTCATTGTATTTAGGACTGCAGTTGATCAGTCCCTTATTGGCATATGTCCTTACTGTGTGGATTGCCTCGATATTGCCTTAATTCACAAGTATTATATGCAAAGATGGATATTGGCTAACAGTGAAATTCAGTTTGAAGCGTGTTTCATCCCGTTTGAGACTTGTCAGCTGGATGCACCTGCATCTCTGAGTTGGACTTGAACTCAGTACCGTCCGCTTCAAACGCCAATGGGAAGATACAAGTAAACAACAATATGTGAATACAATGTTGTTTCTGTCTATTCTTCATTTAGTGCTGATCAAATCTTTTTGGTCAGGTTGCAATTTACGGTGACCTTTAGTTGTCAAAGTGAATTGACATAGTGTAGAGTATTTTGTACAATAATTGATTGAAAGATATATCCAAAAAGTTAGAGAATGAGTTGAATAGTAGTAATGTTTCTTAATGTAATACTGAGTAATGCTGGTTTGATTCTTATGTGGAATGATAATTCCTTTAAGTATGCAATTACGTTTTAATGAACAGTTGGAGAACTAATACGTATTTATTAGACAGTCTTACTGATATAGGGAACTGTTTGATGAACGCTTAGTTGAATGCTGTCAGCTTTTTACAAGATACGGAATTATTAGGTTCTAACATATTAACTGAAACAACATCTAATCACGAACTAATAAAAATCTAGAGGATCATTGGGACGTTATTATCTTCTATATTAGAACTTCACATTAGTACATTGATTGCGCAATTTATTCAATCCTAAGTAATGATATTATGCTGCAACGTGATCACTAGTTCAAATAACTTAACATCGCGTTGGTTGAAGATAACTATCAGCAAATTCGAAGATCAGTAATATCTGACACTTTTCTGTTGAGTTACACAGGTTCGAATCCCACAAGGGGGATGTCAGTTCCTTCATCATTATAATTACGTCCTCCTAACGAGTATTAAACAGGTTTTCCTATCGATTACTTCCAACTACTTAAAATCTGAAAAGTGTATGTTAGTTGTTACAGTGACCTAAACAGTACGTAGAAATAATTCATTGAAGTATTATGATATATCTATACGATATATTATTAGTGATACCATTGTTCAGTGTTTTCTTTTTTTAGGTGGGTGATACAGCTTTACATGTTGCAGCATTATCCAATCTTTCAGATACTATCTATTTTTTATTCTCAAGAAAATTTGATCTTTGCGCTGTCAAAGAGGTAAGTTTCTTTGGGTGCATTACTTTTCTCATCTGCTCACTAGTGACTGACTTCGCGAGATACTCCTGGAGTTCTAGTGAGAAGCCGTTACCAGTGGAGTTCAACCAGGTCACTGAAGACAATGGTGTACGGTGGCTCAACTTCGTGGACTGGTTGAAGTTAGATATTCACACCGTCCGATGCCGACCAGCTCAGTGGTCTAGTTGGTTAACAGCCTGGCGCGAGACTTGTAGGTCCTGGGTTCGAGTCTCGTGGTGTGCGGGGTCGTGGATGCGCACTGCTGAGGAGTCTCATGCCGGGACGAAACGGCCGTCCAGTGCTTCCAGGTTTTCCATGGTGGTCTAGCTTCAATTGACTAATGATTTCAACCAGTGAAAAAAAACTGGTTAGTTACAGTCTGTCCATTTTGTATGCTTGCAATTGCCGTTGCTAACTGTCTCCAGTGGTTGGTAAGTTATGTAGCTCGGGTAAAATAGTTGATTATTTCGATGGGAAGTATTTAGATTAAATACTAACATTCTAAACTTCATGTACCCTAAAGAGCAAATTAGTTCTATTAAGATTGTTAGTTATCCCTTACTGATGAGTATCAACTAGAATGAAACCTAGATCAATCAGAGTTCCTTACTGATTACCTTTATCCACATAATATAACATTCTAGTTTGTTGACAGAAATTTTTCTACTTCAGATTGTGTAGTTATGTCGCTAAGTAGTCTGAACAGTCATATCGGAACATTCATCCTGTTAACGTGTCAATTAATAATAATCATTCAACAATTCTTCCATTATAATTTTAGGCTGGTTAAGATGTACACATAAATGTACAAAAGAGTTATACTCTATCCATCGATAGACCTGATTTGATGTATTACGTCGGTTCTGTAAGCGGTATACAATCTTATGAGATATAAAAGCAAAAAACAGACTTATTATTGAACATCTCTAATCATTTAATTACACGCACCTAATCAGAAAGTGAATCCGGCGTTCATCATGTTGTGCTAATGAGGTATGGCAACTTGGATCGATTCACATATGTGCCTGGTCTCACATTTTAGCTGTTTGACTGACTGAATCAGACAGTAGCCTACAGTTGTGTATCTGTCTTATCCCAACAGTCGATGATATCAAATGTTCATTTAGTCACCGCTATTTTTCCAACCTTCAAATATTTTGACAGTGGAAATTTATATGTTCGATTAAGGTTATCCACAAAGTTTTCAATGTTCTATTCAACACTTTCAATTGTTTTCACGATAATATGGTACATGATTGATGAACATTTGTGTAGGTTTCATTGAAGATCTTATTTCAAGCTCCAGTTTTCACTATATTTGTTATTCTAATCTGATATGTCAAACTGGGCTACTCTGGCATTTTTAACTCTTGAATTGAAATCTTCCATGAAAATTAAGCTCTAATATACAACATTCACTTATCAAATGAACTGTAAAATGTATGAGAACAGTATATCTGTGGTGTGGGTTACTTATTTCCATATAAGTAGTAAATAACGGTCGTCAGGCATAGAGTACATTTCAGTAGAAGTTCGATGATGAAAGAACGGGAACGGAATGCAATTGGTATAAAAACGCGTGAACAATGAAATCTGAGACAATCGATTGATGTTTGCGATAGGAACGGTCAAGTTTGGGATGATGGGTTAATAACTTGCAAATTAACGATTTACTATATGGTTCTCGGATTTTAGTGAGATGCTCTGTAAGTCTGTGTCAATTGCGTTCGATTGTCCTTACTCGTGTCGTTGTTCAATTCATATGTATCGGAGGTCAGAAGCAGTCGTTCTCACTTCTCCTGTCAACCAACCAGCCAGTTTCCATGTAGCAGAAGATAATCAGTCAGCTAATGGGATATTTCCCTCCTACATGGCTAAACTAGTGACGATTGAACTCATACATTCAATCTCAATATGTTGCACCAAGTAACAGAGATGTTAACTAAATCAGGTATAGTTTTCTTGTGTCTGGTGAGCGGAATAGTTGGCGGATCAATGTCATAAAATTATATGTGTCTATTGTTCTTTGGTTTTTTTTGTAGGATAAACAAACTCCATTGCATCTTGCAGTTTCACAAAATAGACTTGAAGCAGTTGAAGCTTTATTGTTTTGTGGTGCTCCATTAGATCTGAGGGATAAAGTATGCAACTTTAGTTTTGTTTTTCAATTTATATTTTGATTTTTACAGATGTCCTCTTCGTCCTATTCAAGACTGATCAGATGGGTGTACTTGCATCCAAGAGTGATGTTCATGTTGAAACTTAAACACCAATACCTTTCACATTGCCGTTTAAAGAGAAAGACACTGTGTTTGAGTCTTAATGGGAACATCGACTCTGAGATGCCTGGACACCCATCTAACGATTCTTAAATAAGATGAAACGCGCATCTTGAAATCCACTGCTAGACAAAGTCCATCATTTCTATAAAAAAACTTGGGAAAAACCGCTGTCTCGGCAATCCGCACAATGTCCCAAATAATACTGATCGAAATTCAGTGCTGAATATTAACAACAGAATAGCTCGATCCTTTTCTAATGATGATATTTATACTCAGATTGTTTTCATAAACTGGTTCGATTAAGGATTTTGTTTCTGTTTACATAAAACGGTTTGGTGAATAACGGTTACGCTAAGTAATAAAAAATTTCATGTCACATTTAGTCTAATTAATGTAATCTAGACTCTAGTAGAGTCAGGAAGAAGTGTTGGAAGTGGGTAGGAAACACATTGAGGAAACCACCCGACTGCGTCACAAGACAAGCCCTCACATGGAATCCTGAAGGCCAAAGGAAAAGAGGGAGATCAAAGAACACATTACGCCGAGAAATGGAGACAGACATGAGAAGAATGAACAAAAATTGGATGGAACCAGAAAAGAAGGCCCAGGACAGAATGGGTTGGAGAATGCTAGTCGGTGGCCTATGCTCCATTGGGAGTAACAGACGTAAGTAAGTAAGTAAGTAAGACTCTAGTAGATACGTTAGGTAGTAGACTTAAGATTGGAGTGTAATGTGTGAGTCAAGTGATAAGAAGCTGCCGACTAAGATTATCTCAGCCAGATTCGATTATAATCCTAAGGGTACTTATCCGTGATATTTGAAACAGCAGCACAGATGTTATAACCAAGTTATTTTCATAACAACTAACATCTTGTTAGACTGAGTTATTTGAACTAATCGTTTACTAATATAGTCAACCGCCCATCTACTATTGGTAAGCAAAGAACGCTACTGGTTATTATTCACTGACATTAGTTATAAGCGTCTCGCTCATATGGAAGTTTACTTCTTATATGAGCAACTTTGATGGGAGATGATAACATTACTGACAGATAAACCGAGGAAATTTACTTTGAATAATAAGACCTGTACTTATTGGTGCTTTACCAATCAATGAGTGATGTCTTCGTTGAATATCAGAAGTCGTTATCAACCCTCTATCAGTTAGTCAATTCTTTTCAAAGTAAGTCTCCACCATCTCAAAGTCCCAATCAAATAAATGCTTCGATTCAAGTTGTCAGTGCATTGAAATGAATTTGCCACAATGTATGGTGGGAATCAGTTATGATCCTGAACCATGTCATCTAATATCTTGATCTATTGATCACAATAATTTACATGAGCCATTATAAAACAGACTTACTAACTTACTTACACCTGTTGCTCCCAATGGAGCATAGATCTCCAAGCCACTGTCATTGGCCTTCTTTTCTAGTTCTGTTCAATTCTTGTTCATTCTCCTCCTTTCTATTTCCATTTCTCGAAGTAATTTGTCCTTTGGTCTTCGCCTTCTCCTTTAACCTTGAAGAGTTCGAGTGATGAGAACTTGCCTTATGACGTAATAGGGTACTTTCCTCAAATCATAAAACAGACCGACAGTATATAATTTTATCGATTAAAAATATGCCTTGGTTTATCCGCCTCTAGATCCCAACTTCTTAATTAACATTGAACGTATATTTTTGTTTCTAGGATGATCAAACTCCTTTGATGATTGCTGCCAAATCAAATTACACTGCATTAGTTGATATGATAATACGTGCTGATCGATGGAATAAAACTTATCCGGTAAGAGAGAGAGGCAAAGAGTATTGGAAAGTTATTTTAATTACGTAATTCTGTTTATAGTTCAATCGGTGTTATATTGTAATGTTATTTCTTATTTTTCATTTTATTTTAACTAAGGTAAGTAATTGAGCTGTTGTGCAATATTTCTGAAGTCATAGGGATGTTGAATACGGTAAAATGTAAACAATGACATGTGATTGGTCAGTATGTTTTATTTTAAGCAAAGATGGATGCAGGTACATCCAGCTGACGAGTCTCAAATATAATGAAAAGCACGTCCTGGATTCCACTGCTAGTCACTATCCATCTTTGCTGAAGATGTCGAGTATATTTTATTGTTTATCTATATCCTATAACTGAATGAGATTCAGGTAGACTGAAATGGATGGATGATTAGAGTAGTTTGTTGATTTCAACAACACTAAAATTGGCGTAAGCCGAGTTCACATATATGAATTGAAGAACCGTTAGCGTGCAATCAATCTTCATCGAACGAGGCGTTTGGAACATATATTATAGATGTTTAACCATCCCTTACCTCTATGTGCGGTATTGCTTCGTGTGAAAACTGCCTAGGGAAAAATAATGGGCTGTTAAACTAACATGTGGTGTCACTCGATGAAATCATGGTCTCTTAATCTGAATTGAGTAGGTAGACTATTTGGTTAGAGTCATCACGATTATCATAATGAGAATTTGTCGACGCTGCGTAACACAGTTCGAAACTGGTCTCAATGGCAAATTTCTACACTGAACAACACATTCTTGATATTTACATAATTCAATGAATGTTTTCCATTTATCCAAAAATCACAGTTTGCATCATGAACTGACGTTAAATGGAACAAAAAGTTGAAAACCATAAAGCACTGAAAAGTTTTTTCCACCCTTGGACAGAATATTTAGATTAAACTCCGGCCGCAAAACCTAAATGCTCAGGGTTTACTCCCACAATAAGTTAATGGGTGTACGCATTTATGGAGTCTCATACTAGAACAAAATTTCTGTTCATTTCCTTCCAGGCTTTCACTAATTATCTGACTAAGGTCATTTCAGGATTTAAACTGTAAAATTCATTGATTTCCACAAATATTTCATGTACCTGAATAAATGGTTGCTCTGGTTGTCAGAAAAGGCATCGGCCTCGTGGCTTTCGAAGGAACTCGACTTTCACCATGAAGTTTCATAGTTCTTCTAAATGAAGACCTTCTGACTCCCAGGGCAGAGTTTAAACGGTTTGAATAATTTTTTTCTGGTTAGCGTTTTTTAGCGAGTTAGTTTTCTACGAGATGGGGTCACTAACCCCATGCCCAACCTCCCTCCTTTATCCGGGCTTGGGACCGGCAGTAGCCCCCGGAGGGGCACCAGGCGGAGTTTTCCATAAACATATCTCACCATTATAATATAAGTCAATTCTAAAAAAATTCCAATCTTAGATTGACTTTCAACTCTGGAATACAAATACATCCAGCTGATAAGCCTCATGTAGGACGTAAAGTACATTCTGGATTTCATTGCCAATCATTTTCTCTCTGTACTATATAAATACGATTACTTACTTACTTACTTACGCCTGTTACTCCTCATGAAGGAGCATAGGCCGCTCCATACGATAGTTCCATTTAAAATAAATATCTATTCAGTTAGTTATTAGTTGATTTTTTTACTTAATTCATATTTCTTTCTTTTCCCACTTTTTTCTCGGATCATTATCAATTAGGTGAATGCTCAAAAATTGATTGATGAAATCTTACAAACACAACAAACCAAATATGTAACCACAAGAATATTAGACAAAAAACAAAAGAACACACAAGAAGTAAGTAATCAATGAATTGAATAAGTTAATTGATTGATCATAAAACTTAAAGTAAACACGATCGATAAGATTTGATCTGTACTAAGAAGGATCTGATATATATATGATCAACATTCAGTGATCAATCAATTGCAACCCGGATAGTTCAGTGTTAATGTCTCTGATTGTGAAGCTGGATGACACGGGATTGAATCTGTCAGGGAACATCAGTCTCCTCAAGATTACAAATATATCTTGTTGACGAGTGTCATGTAGTACGACACCTAGTTCCAGAATTTCATGTTGACCAACTCCAATCACCAACTTATCTCAATATAGTGCATGCATGTCGAGTCAACTAGATTGGTGGCCACACTACAACCTGGTCGATAGTATTCGATCTGCACTAAGAAGGACCTGACTTACTTGACATTGCTTACTACCTAGTGATCAATCAACTGTAAGTACTCGGAGAAAATCTTTTTGATCCCTTTTTTTGGAAGGACCACCGTTTTTCTCAATGCAATTAGTGGGTATTTCAGTACTGTGAATCATAATCGAATAATGTGACTAGTACTAGAACACGTAATGTAGAATAGAACTTTGCTATTTTTCTAATTCCCTAATACTGTACTAATGAGGATTACTTATGAATTCTAGCAATTGATCGATTTCAATTACAAGACGAATCAATGCTTCCTAGTTGTTAATAAGAACGTCTTATTATGGTCATTCAGTGATGTTAACTTTAAACGACAAAATCTATCTAAACTCATTACACTAATGGTAATTATTTACTTAGTAGTGACTGATTTCAAGAAATAATCCCTGTAGTTTTGATAAGAATCCATGATCAATGAAGTTTGACTCTTTTGAGTGTGATCCAGTAGCCAACCAATGAGACTAAAAGATGATTGTATCAAATTACAGACTATCAGAATGGGTTTTGTGGAGAGTTTTAGAAATTTCACAGGTTGAAATCATGAGTCAGTTGAAGCTAGACCACCATTGAAAACCTGGAAGCACTGGACGGCCGTTTCGTCCTGATATGGGACTCCTCAGCAGTGCGCATCCACGATTACTAAAACCTTGAAATCTATTCTATTGCATGACAACTTATTGGTTTAAATGTCAAGCGCTCATCTCGGTGTCTAAAGTTCTAACACTGATTAGTTAGCGGATTGACACTGCTATGGAAAGGTTTGTCCAGTGTGATTATTGGGTTTTACTTGTTGTTATGTCCCGATAAACATAATGAATGGTAACTTTTGGGATCTATTGATGGACCAATACTAAACGTATATTTCTATTGTATAATTATTAGGTAACTAAACTATGCATATTCATATTCCTCTTATTATAAGCTTTATTTTGACCCATGGACTATTATTATACGATTTACCATTCTTGAATTATGTCCAGTCTATCAATTAGTACCTCCCTCATTCACAGCCACATTTGGCTAAATCTTGTACAAATGTTGTTTCCTATTTTATTGGTACGATGTGGTCTGTATGGTTGGTATATAAACCCAGTCTGTTTGAATAAAAAGATTCATATGACAAGGACTGAGATTGGTGTTCTGGACTTAACAGGCAAGTAGGGCTAGGCGGGAAGCAGTACCGATAAGGACTCGGAAGTGCTCGTACGTGTTTTATGCGTCCTTGGTCCGATCGATAATTCACTTCTCTCTAATTGGCGGTCACAAGTTATAACACTAAACAACATCAGTTCATGATGTACACAATGAAATTCAACAATCTCTATCTATTTACACATATATTCATCTATCTATTCTTTCACATTTCCTAAGAATAAACTATCTTCTTTTCAATTCTTTCTATTCACACATTAATAGATATTATCGAATGATCGAAAACACTTATTCAATGATAATACTGGTAACCACAATAACAATAAGAATAATGATAGTACTGAAGATTCAGAAAGTAGTCGAACATATGTTGGACAACATCACGATTACCATCATCATCATCATCATCATCATCATCATCCTACTACTACTGATAATGATGAGAATTCAATCATTCCAAATGATAATGATCCTAATGATGTGATGATGATAGAATTTATTGATCCATTTAAACAATTACAATTAGAAGAGAACAATAAACAAATTAATGAAATACAATTAATAGTAGATCATCGTTCAACGACTACAGCAAGTTCTGAATCAGGTAGTGAATTATCATTAGGTTATGAAGCAAGTCGTGCATGGAATAGATCAGATCAACGACAATATCAATCTAATCATGATCTATTGAATAATTCATTTAGTCTATCACAAATTAGTTTGAGTCGTGATTTAACCGAACCAAATTTTAATCAAGAACATTATGATAATGATGTAGATGATGTGGATGATGACGATGATCATCATCATCGAAAACATGGAAGTCTTAATAATTTATCATGTCAAGTTCAAGGTAATGAGATTTATTTACCAAATGGTGAGACAATATTTCGTATTACGGATACACTGTTAGCACAATCCAGTAAGAATATGCGTTTATTGAATGGATATGGTTTGAATTTAACACATCCATTTACATTTAGAGCACCATGTCAAGTGAGTGATTCTTTTTTTCTTACTTTCTTTCTAATGTTTCTGTTGAAAGAAGATAGATTAATGAGAGTGATGTTTAAAATGGTGTAGGTTAACAAGAATCAATCAACATCATTTTAACATTTTATTCTAACACATAGATATTGGTACAAAGAGGAACCAAATACATATACGCCACATAAATCTCATTCGATATGTGTGAGGGCTGTGATACTGCCCGGGTGTCCAAACCGAAGTAGTTGGTGTTCTTAGGGGGTCACACCCGGAGCCTTCGATCTGAAGGTCTGGTCCACAAAGCAGTGGGGCAACGTAAGGAGATGTAGTCCCATGGAAGCCGGTGACCAACAATTGATTCATACGCCACTTGTTCCTTCAGGATACTGGAGCCAATTCGCACCATTGGTTTGGAATCCGGTTAGATCACCGGATATTCGCTCTTCGTCCTCTCATTTTCGTAAACAAAACCCGTGGTGCGAGAAGGCAGTGAGTAGGACTTCCCTGGCAGAGGCTATATACGCGTGGCCATGTGAGAGTATTTCGAGAGGGAGAGCAGACTCTCTCCACTCTCGGACGTACCAGGGCATTTGGTGGCACATCATTTTAACATTTTGTTTTAACACATAGATATTGGCACAAGGAGGCACTGACTACATCAAGATCTACAGGCCAAGCTGTGAACTACATGTGGAGAAATTTCGAAGTTTATACTGATGATATTGTTCAGAAGAATGATGACAGTTCCATGACCAAATCATCCAGCCTAGAGAAAAAAAATCAAAGAGAGTGATGTTCGTTTTAAGCACAGAAAAATTAATGGACCAGTTTTATATCTTAAGCGATTAATTTGAATTATACACTTATATTGGAGTTGAAAATATTGATCATAGAAACACTTAGTATAAACGTGTATACAAAGAACAATCAAGGTATTAGGATAATAATGATGGTGTTAATTGATCGATGTTACTCGATAGGAAAACCTGTTTAGCTTTGGTTTCATATTAGTTGATACTTGCCAGCGTAATGAGACTGAAACATTCAGGACTATATAAACTTAGTATTGATCAGTCGATGAAAATATCTTAGTCTCACAGAGAAGCTGTGAAATATAAAATGAAACAAGTTTGAATCACTCAGGCAGTATCAACTGCCTACAGACTGAGGAAGCATACCTTACTCGTGAATATCAAGTGGCATGAAACCCAATTTAAAAATATCCTATCGACTGCCTACGATTACCATTTTATATTTCAGCGTATTGTATGGGGTGTAGCGTTATTTAGACTAGTGGCTACATCGAAATCTGATCGATAGAATTCGATCAGCACCTAGGAAGGAATTGATATACATGACATTGATCGACACCCAGTGATCAGTCAATTGTAAAAGCTTTTATCTTTCGTTTGGAGTTCAAGTGTAGAGAAGATCTCCTGTAACAAGGTACTATGAATCGACTAAAATTAGAATCAAACGATCAAACACCCCAAAAACTCATCAGTTTATAGATAGTGTAGTGAACAAGAACACATGTGGAGGTACAATCGAATGTATTTGAACGCCAAATTACAGAATATTTCACTAAGGTCTGAGAACCATACAGTAAATACTTCATTTGCAAAACGTCAGTCAGTTGTCTCAGACTTGACTGTCTCAGATTTCACTGTTCATGCAATCTCATACCATTTACTCTCCATTCTCATTCTTTCCTTCTCGATCTTCTACTGAAATACATTTTATTCATGACTATCAATATACTACTTATGTAAATATAAGTAGCTTACATCATAATTTCAAAATTTCATTTTTTAGAATTATGCTGATGATATGAATGTTCTATTCTATGAATATTCACATCGATATGCAAAAACATCGGATTGGAAAAATTTGGCAAAATTTTGGGGATTCACATCAGATGATATAACTGCTATTGAATATCAAGATATTGGTAAGTTGGATTCATCACAATATTTTAATTACTTGATAGTTTATGTATAATCATAGAGAATTACTCAATTACCTACACCAGTTACCCCTCGCGGAGGAACATAAGCTGCCCACTAGAATTGTAGACTGTCAGTTTTTTTCGGATTAATGATTAACACTACTTATACAATCAATGGTGGTTGAAACGATGAAGTATAGAGATAATGAAATAGTGTGTGTTTCATTGTGAAATCAATTCTGAGTGATGACACTGTTGGGTTGGCTTCGAAAAAGGGCGATGAAGCCTCTAGCGACTCTAAAGGTGATGAACAGATTCCATCTAATCAGAACCTAATAGAACCATCTAGAATATCAAGATGATATTCTACGATTGGACGATGACATAAATTGCCTCCTTGTGGACTGGATGAATTATAATGATGTTATAGCCAATACTAATAAATATAAATACCCATGTTTTTCTGTACATTTTTAATGCTTACCAAATAATCACTTCCTCTGTTTCTTCTGTCTTCTGGTCTGTGACTGTAGAGTTCTATATATTCGAGTGCGGTTAGTTGTATATCATATTCTGTATCTTTATTCATTGATTAAGATCATCATGTTGATCCCAACCAGATAGTTTGTACCTACCAACAAAACTTAATTTGACAGTCAATGGATTTGTGAAGTGATGTTATGAGATAGTTTCACGGCTCATAGCTCTCTCTCAGTCTACTTCGACATCAATAAACATAGCTTCTCGAGATATGGAGTGAATTGGCAGACATAAGTCATGTTCCAACTGCCTCAATCGAGGATTCACTTATACATTAGAAAGTATGTGTAGATAACCTCAAATGTTTAAAGTGAAATCTCTGGTGAAAATTATACTCAAAAGTTCAAACAATCATTCTGTAAATGAACCGAGTAATGTCCAAAACTACTGGCTTCTAGAACTATGTCATAACAATATAGTAATCATGTGCTTACAAGTAAACAAGTTCTGGGATTAATTTCAGGAGTTCTAATGAGAATCCATGATAAGTAGATTTTAATCACAATTGGTTGATCACTGAGTGGTGATCAATGTCATATGTGTCAAGTCCTTCTTAGTGCAGATCGAATGCTATCGATCATGTTGCAATGTGGCCACCAGTCTAGGTGACTCGACCTTGCGTGCACTATATATTGAGATTAGATGGTGGTTAGAGGTAGTTGACAGGAAACCCTGGACTCGGATTTCGTGCTACATGGCACTCATCGGCAAGGTGTACCTGTAATCTTGAGGGAACTGGTGCTCCCTGGCGGACTCGATCCCGTGTCACCCAGATTCACAGTCAGAGACGCTACCACTGAGCTATCCGAGCCGCGACTAACCTCCTGTAGGACTGAGATGTAATCACAATTGATTGATCACTGGGTGGTGATCAACGTCATTTCAAGCATAAAAAGAAAAAGAAAACTCTCACCAATTGCAATCAATGATGTTTAGGAAATAACAAATCACTGAATTAGAACTCAACATTTTTGAAATGGGACATTTGTCATAAAGCCTAAAAGTTATGAGTTCGATCTCTAACGAAGGATATAGCCGGGGATGTGTATTATCATGAAATCCCAATATTGGAACGTGGTGAGACTATAATTTATGAATGAACCAATCACGGTATAAGATAAAAGGTCTTGGATTTTGGCGCGAAATTCCGCGCCCCCCCCCCATCCATTTGGCTAAATAGAGTTTTGGCATTATACCTGATGTCGATTCATGATGAAAACTTTGAATCTAATTCATAACCTTCATCATCAATTGTAAATGAGAATTGTAATTCCTTACACACTGGTTTATAACCCTCATTTGGTTCTAGTTACTAGGTGGACACTCTCAACGTCAGTCTGGCATCGCTGAAAGATCGTCCATAAATTATAGTCACATCTTGGAATACTTCATAAGTTTCATCTTTATCTAACTAAAATTAATTGTACTCTTTTTAACTTTTATTTAGGTAAAAATTCTTATAAAGAACATACATATCGATTATTGAATATATGGTTACATGGTATTAGTGATAATCAATCACCATTGAATGAATTCTATTTAGCCTTAACTACAATTGGACGTAAACGAATTGTGGAACAATTACATCGACGTATTAAAACATTAAATAAACTGAATAATAAACATAAATGTAAACTATATTAAGAAATATATGCACATATGGATATACTAGCACCTAACCAACCAATCATCCACCCCCACACACACACACACACACAGATACATACATGTACATCATGTGTAAAATGTCATTTTATTGTCTTTATTTCTTTTTGATTACACTTCTCAATTATGTTATTTGTAACCTTCTTTGTATATCCTTCTTTATTATGTAATCAGAGTATCTAAGCACACACACACACAGAGAGAGAGTGAAATACCCCTCTTTATTATGTAATCAGAGTTTTTCTAAACACACACACACACACACGCACATAATGAGAAATATTCATTCATCTTAAGTATCATGGTTTCAATAAATGCTCCAGGGTAATCATCTTCCCATCACATTATCTAATTCTGTTATTTATAATAATATTAGGTGTTCTCTATTTACAATGATTTTAAAAGCTGTTCTTTGTAGTTCATGCCCAACCCTCCTCCTTTATCCGGGCTTGGGACCGGCAGTAGCCCTCGGAGGGACTCCAGGCGGAGTTTGTAGTTCATGTGTATTTTACTTAATTACTTAATTACTTACTTGCGCCTGTTATCCCTCATGGAGGAGCATAGGCCGTACACTATGATTCTTCATCCAACTCTGTACTGGATAATCCTTTCTATTCATCATTCTGATGTTTACTTACAATTCTTGACGTAATATATTTTTCAGCTTTCCGCTTTTTCGTTTCCCTTCAAGATCCCAAGTAAACGCTTGTTTCATAATACAGTTTGATGATTTCCATAATGTATATCCTATTCAAATCCAACGTATTTCCTTAATTTCTTTTTTTTATCTGGAAGCTGGATTTTGTTCTCTCCCACAATAGACTGTTACTGATTGTATCCAACCAAAAGATTTCTTGTGTATCCGAGAGATAGAAAAAAAAGACTTCAATTTAGGTTTTCGTTTTATTCTTTTCTTTTTCATGTTGATTTCTGTCAATTACGCAATTGCTCTTTTGTACACCCCTATACTCATATTGTTCTGTCAGAATTGGTATAGGGGGTCAGGTGAAGTAATATTCATATTAGAAGGATCATTGAGATATTGATCAATATTATTATTATTATTACTAATTATCTTATATATTACAAACATATAAACACATATACAGTCACAGATACTCAGTGAGTTCACCTCTGACGCTTCTCGTTGCTAATTTTTCCTTCCTTGTCGAGCATTTTCCTTTGTGTTTGATTTATGCTTATCTATTTTCAATACCACCCCCCTCCTTCGTACGTTTTTTGACACATTCCTTTATTTATTTTTTGTACAGAATGGAAAAAAGGGAAAATTTTAAATTGTAAACAATAAATTTGATGAGAGAAAAAAATGTAGAGAAAAATTTGTTGCTAACTATTTACGTTTCAATATAACAGAAGGGATGTTTGTGGAGATTGTAGTAATTTTAATAGTTGAGTTGATGAGTCAATTGAAACTAGACCACCACAGAAAACCTGGCATCACTGAGCGGACGTTCCGTCCTATTGTGGGACTCCTCAGTGGCAGTGAGCATCCACGATCCCACCTTGCGAGATTCGAACCCAGGATCTATCATTCTCGCGTGCGAACGCTTATCTTTTTGATCAACATATGCTCACTAGTAACCGGCTTCAAGAGGTACTTCCTGGAGTTCTAGTGAGAAGGAGTAACCACTGAAGACAATGGTAAATCTGTCGTTCAATTTCGTGGATTAGTTGAAGTTAGATATTAACACCGTTAGATGTCGGCTCAGGGATTTAGATGTTAAGCGTTTGCGCGCGAGACTTATCGATCCTGGGTTTGAATCTCGTGAGTCTGGATTGTGGATGCACACTATTGAGAAGTCCCATACTAGGATGAAACGGCCGTCTAGTGCTTCCAGGTTTTTCATGATGGTTTAGCTTCAATTTATTCAGAGAGAGAAAAACATTGCCTCGCGAAGAAACAAGTCTATTTCATTTGAAAATTGTTGCTATGTTACTTTTGTTCATTCTAGCAAATGTTTTTTTTTCTTTATTTTGTAAGTCTGACATACTTAGATAATTCACACACAAACTGGTAAACAAAAATGATTAGATAACCTGGTCAATATCATGAAAGATAAAGATCTCAATGTATCAGGTCCAGATTATTCATTATTAATTAATGTTACTATTCTGTATACAAAAGATTAAATTCACACCAAGTATAACCACTACACATGATTACATAATTATGGACTGACATTCTGTCACTGAGCATCATCTGTAGTCTAAACCAATTGCTTCTTTACATAATAAGTTTATGTGTTTATTTGAGCTTTGATTTTAAACAATGAAAGAATCTACATAACTGGATAGTTGAATTATCATATCACATTAGTTAGATAAATGGGCACATTGCACATTGCACACTGATCGACAGTATCAAAGAATGAAGTTTGTAGTTTGAATGACTATTTTTATTGATCAGTTAGTGTCAATATCTTAGTAACACAGAAGATCACAAGGATACTAAGATAGAACAATGGTGACGTTTGAGATCATGCAAGTGTTTAAGCCGAACGAAAAATGTATCTTACTTTTTAAGTGCTACTTACCATGAGAAATTTATAACGATGAATCACTTTCAGTTCACTTTAATTACCTTTATAAAGTAGACAAAATCTGCATATCACCCGATTAATCAGAGTTTAATATTTTGTCCAGAAGTTTGTTGATAAGCTTTAACTACTACATACCAACCTCATATGATATTGAATAGATCCATTTGTCAATGTATAGTTTAATTGAATTTAATGAGAATTTAAATGACTGAGGTTTTAGTCATATAAGACCCTATAAAGATGAAAGCGAAATGTACTAGATTCAACTCTTAGTGTGAATATCAAAACTGAGTTTAGGTATATCTGTCTGACGATTCTGTGAAAGATTGCATCATGATGGCTGTAGTGATCTATATGTGATACATATATGTCAGTCAATACTGATCAAATTTCAATCAAACAATCAACAATGAAATGACCTAAACTATTATAAATTACAAACTCTGCCTGGAACCCCTCTAGGGATACTGCCGGTCCTAAACCCGGATAAAAGAGGAGGGTTGGGCATCCATCCCATAGAAAACTAACTCGCTAAAAGAATGCTAATCCGAAAAAATAATTCAAACCATTTAAACTCTGTCCTGTGATTTAGAAGGTCTTCATTCAGAAGAGTTATGACGTCTCATGATGAAATTCGAATTCCTTCGGAAGTCACGAGGCCGATTCGCTTTCTGACAACCAGATCGACCATTTATTTAGGTACATGGAATGCTCGAACAATGTGGGACACCGGGAGAGTTATCCAAATTGTTGCATTATAAATTAAACTACTTGCGTGTAGTTTGTGTAGTATATGAGTAAACAATTTTAAACATTATTCTTCCAGATTACAAACATAACATTTTCCATATGCACTGAGATATTTTAATGGAGTTTTGTTCTGTGAACACTGGATGGTTTGTTTGTGGAGATTTCATCGTTCTTCTGAACAACATCATCAGTACAAACTTCAGGTAGAAGTTAAGTGTTCGAATTTCACCATATGTGGTTCACAGATTGTCCTGTACACCTCGATCTTGATTGTTTCTTATTGGCCTTAAACTTGTCATTATTTACTTCTTTATTTTGGTTGTATCTCCCATTGTTTTGATTTCTGTTCCTATGTTTGTGCATAATTTTCCTGATTTGTAGATAAATTGGATCGATTTAAATGTGCTTGTTTATTGCTGACTGACCTGAGTGCTAAGCTTCTAAAAATTCATTGGTGTTTTTGGAATTGCCTCTGTCAAAATCCCCACACTTTTCCAGTCGAATGTGTGTCCACAGTTGTCTACGTGCATTGATATAATTGGGGACATATCATGGCGTCTGACTGTTAATTGGTGTCCATGCAGACGAAGATGAAGAAAGCGTCCGGTTTGTCCGATGTAGTTTTTTTCGTAGTTGGGACAATTTATTTCGTAGATGATATTTGGTTTATCTTCTTTTGTGGTTTCATCCCTTGGTTTGCATAGGATTGATTGTAGGGATTTTGTTGAATTGTGTGCAACACCAATTCTGAAGGGTTTCTGAAGTCTCGTTGTAGTTTCTGATATGTCTTTAATGTATGGTAAGGTGATCCTTTTGTTAATTTCTGTACTTGACTTTGTTTCTAATGATGGGTGAGGCTGGCACAAACATAGGAACAGAAATCAAATCAGTGGGGGATACAACCAAAACAAAAAACAATGACAGGTTTAATGTTAACAAGAACCAATCAACATCGCGGTGTACAGGACAAGCTGTGAACCACATATGGAAAAATTCGAACATTTCACTTCTACCTGAAGTTTGTGCTGATAATGTCGTTCAGAAGAACGATGAAATCTCCACAACCAAATCATCCAATTCATTCGCCTGAACTACAACTCTTCTCTATCAGCACTAAAATATCTAAGAACACAAACAAGTAGATCTAATACAGAATCATCTTGATACATCGGAATGTTTTGTTTCACTTTCACTATTTAAACTTATGTTCATTTGTCAGTTATTCATCACAATTAAATCATATACGTAGTTACAAAATAAACTCCGCCTGGAGTCCCTCCGAGGGCTACTGCCGGTCCCAAGCTCGGATAAAGGAGGAGGGTTGGACATGGGGTTAGCGTCCCCATCCCTTGGAAAACTAACTCGCTAAACAAACACTAACCAGAAAGATAAGTTACAAAATAGTAAACAAATAGTATAAATGAATAGGAAGTAAACAAGTGTATTAATTGTAATGATGAGATCTAGTCAATAGGTCAAAATAGAAAGTTATGTGAAACATAAATAAATAAATACTCACATTAGTTGCCAGGTGATAAATCAGTAATTAAAATACTGACTTGTATGACCTTGTTCCTGTGTTAAATTAATGGCACATCAACTAGTATTAGAAGCCTTACATGAAATCTGAATTCTCATCATTACAATTAATACACTTGTTTACTTCCTATTCATTTATACTATTTGTTTACTATTTTGTAACTTATCTTTCTGGTTAGTGTTTGTTTAGCGAGTTAGTTTTCCAAGGGATGGGGATGTTTGTTATTAAATAGTTCCAGTAGTTGTTCTTTTCTAAGGTTTTGATCGGCAATGATGAAGGTGTCATCAACGTAACGACAGTAGAAATCCAGTTTATTGATAACCTCCTTGAGGCTAGCGATGTATTACGAGATAGATTGACTAAATCAGTAAAGAGAACGTTTAATGCTGCCAACCTCTGCCTATCGTATTCGACCCGATCGATGGTGATTCCGAAATTGAAGGATAAGTTACCTGGTTATGCCACTTCTATGTGTATCTACGAATTCAGCTGCTCCTGTGGAGAAAGCTATATCGGGCGCACTACCAGGCAACTGAACCAACGAGTTAGTGAACACCTCCCTTCGTGGTTAGGAAAAGGCTATGTCAAAACAATACGCAGCTCGGTTCTATCACACTTGATCGATAGCGGTCATATAGTGGACAGAAACAAGTCGTTCAAAGTTATTTATCGGATTCCCACTAGTTTTCCTTATGGTGTTCGATCTCGTCTCTTACACATAGCAGAAGCTATAGGAATCCGAGCCAACAAGCCAAGTCTTTGTGTCCAGAAGAAATTTGTAACTCCCTTATCTCTCCCTTGGCCTTAAGTAATAAATGAGTGTATTTATTTATTTATTTATTCTCTTCGTTTATTATTTTTCTTCACACCCTCCTACCACTTTAGTTTCTCTCAACTATACGTTTCATGATCCAATTATCTGAACATTTCTTATTACGTCATCTTATAATTTTATAATTGTTATCTCAGTTTCTATATTTCTCTAATCATTGACTTATTTCAGATTATATAACATTGATTTGAACCTTTATTATTATTGCTTATCAAAAAACTAATGCACCTGTTGTCACACCATCAATTTGTACTTTTCACATTTTACTTATTATGTAACTGTTTCCATTGTTATCATTGACTTATAAACTACCTTGATTGGTTTAATAATTTCGTATATGCATATAAATATTACTGTATATTAGAGTAAAGCCTGATGAGGATCTAATCGAAAACAATATTGTTCGCTTATATATGTTGTTCTAAAGCGAATAATTGACAAGGTCAAAATATGGCTCAAGTAAAATGGATAAAATAGGATATCCGAAAGCTAGAATAAGATATATGGGCTTGGCATAATAACTGATACTACATCATCACATATACCAGTTTCTATGTTCTTACGTTTCGCGTCGTTGGAATTGCAGAAGTCCCTCGTTCCAAGTATAAGTGATAAGCGTTTCCGACATAACAATCAACGACGACCAGATATAAAAAGTAGCAATAAAAGAGCCAAAAACAATAAGCATTCAAAGCACAAATTATAACACTAATGAATTCACATGATTCTGTTTCAATTCCCAACAAAAGTCACACATACCAATGGACAATAATCAACAACCAGTTAATTAGTTATGAAATAGTTCCATTAACTTAATTCTCATTGAAATATATCTAAAAAGATAATGGAAGCTTCTTAATTTAGCAGTTCACAACTTAAAGAATAATCATAGCCTCAGCAACAACAAAACCATTCTTCATAAATAACCAATCGTATATGAGCTGAACGACCTTGTTAATTCTCACATCTGATTGGACAATTGTATTAAGACAATGAAATGCATACCATTTATGAATTACGGTTATAAAATGATCAAACACAAATGATTAGTCTTATTGATACATTGAATTGTTCTTTCTATTTTTATCATCTACTGTTTATAATTCTCTTCGATTTCATTGAATAACATGCGAATATCAAGAATCTTCATTATATTTATTGTGGTTTTCATTCATGGTTATCAAGCGGAGGATTGTGGAAGTAAGTTATGAATAACTTGATCTTTCAGTTGATTGATTGATTGATTGATTGATTGGTTTTGAATAGATTATAGTTAGATCATCATTAGGATTCTAGAAACACTTTATAATTGCTTCATTCTTGTATGGGATATCCATAAGTGAATGTATTTGTATTCTTAATGAGGCATGAAGTCAAGATCTTGAGACTAAGTTGTTACATTCAAAAATGAAGCAGCTATGATACAGTACTTTCCAGTGTCTAATGATTAATCAGCAATGTAAAAATTAATGATTTACATTCATGACTTTCAATTCCATTCTAATCAGTAGATAGCGAGAAGATTAACCGATTCCGTTGGCTATCTCATAAAGTGAATCAGTAGGTTATATATAACTACGTTTGTTATTGACTTGGATAGTTGATCAGATTAGAACAGACTGATCAATTGTAGTCCTAAACATCAATAAAAAAAACTAAGTAAACAATACCAAATGAATTTAAACAACACTCCATTGCACAAGCAAGTAATTATCAGGATTCAATGGCTAAGTGGATAATGTGATATCGTTTGAAGAGAACGGCGCTGGGTTCGAGTCTCAAAGTGAACATCAACTCTGAGATATAAGTACATCTTAATTGACGAGTCTCAATTAGGATGAAATACGCATCCTAGATTCCAATACTAACCACTATTCATCTTTGCTTAGAAGATAATCTGTAGTAAGAATAATCTTTGAATCCGTCAAATCTTCTGAAATCACTTGATTAAACTATTCAAATCGGTCTAAATTTTAATAGTAATCTATCTATATATATGTGTGTTTTACATAACTAATAAGGTTAATGAACTTGTTATGAATAATGTCACTGAGAAGAAAGTAGAATGGTTCCTTAAAGGAGATACATGCTTGTTTCGACGAAATCGATTAAATGCAAATGTGTATTATCATAGTGAAGAGTGAAAAGAAAAAGTATGACAAATCGATATAATGAAGTTTTCAGATATCAATATGGTAACTAAAATCATAGTTGACTGAATAATAAAGTAGCAAACATATATAGGTACATAGGAGTAAATAGTATCATGAATTGGATGGGGAATGATGCGATAAAATGTGGGCAATATTATCATGGCAAGTACTTGATTAAATACTAATTCTTTTTGAGTGTATGATTCTGACGTAGGCTTTTTATAATTCTTTAAGTTACTATTTTGATATTCTACAATATTCCCTAACAAAATGCAGAGTCTTCTGACCACTCTAAGCAATAATCCAAGCATGTTCGGCATGCGATTCTCTCCCTCGAAATGCAAAATGTTCGTTTGGGATTGGGTTGCAACAACATCCGAACTAATCATAGGGAGTGAAGTAGTTGAGGGTGTCGACCGCTTCAATTATCTTGGAATTCTCATCAGCCCTTGTGGTCTGGTGTGTGACGAAATCTCAGCACGGATGCTAAAGGCTCGACTAGCTTTTGCCAACTCGTGTCATTTATGGTGTAGGCGAGATATCCGTCTATCAACCAAAAGACGTGTTTACTGCACAGCAGTTCGTTCCATTTTACTTTATGGCAGTGAAACATGGCCGATAAGAGTAGAGGATATTCGCGCCAAAAGCGCTCTTGTCACCTTCATGTCGTATTTCCCACTTGGGAGAATCTTAAATGCTATTGGTCCGTTTTGTCTTTTAGTATGCTATTTTGTAAGTCTTCCCAAGGACGGTTTTGTGCTGTATATATACGTTTTGATTTGTTTCCTTTGTTATCGCTCGTTCTTCTGGATTCTGCGGAATATACCTCCCCATTTCAAGCATCGACTTCTTCCTCCAGTTAGCGGGGCCAGGACACATTGAATAGCTAGCTTATTGGTCTTCGGTCACCGAGTGTTTGTTCTCGTTTGCAGATTAAGTGAACTCGTAACCGCTTCAAACCTAGCATTACCCTAACCCACAAGAGTTTTATTATATATCTGTATAACAATTTCCACAAGACCCCCTCCCTTTGTGAAAAGATTTTATTCTTCATTAAATAAATTATTCACTTATCATTTGAAACTAATTATACACATAACATGACTATCGTACAAAGTTAAATAAAATACCATAGTAACTATCATTATTGTTGTTGTCATGTAATGTAATTCATAAGAACCTATAGTTGGATACAATTTCATATTAAATTATGATAGATGAATAGAATTTTGAACATTATTCATTTTCTCAATTTGATCTTCTTTCGTTCGTTTTCTTCTTCTCTTTCTTCTTCTTCTTCTTCTTCTTCTTCTCTTTCTTCTCTTTCTTCTTTTCTAATGATTAAAATGACTTCATGGTCACCTGTACACCTACGATTGAATCATAAGATGAGATAATAATGTAACTAAATGGGATCACTTGTAAATGATAAACTAGATCTGTAATAATAATCATGAAGTGATTTAAGTGAGACAATCATAGAAAACATGGAAATTGTGAACAGCTGTTTCATTCTAGGATAAGACTCTTCAGTAATGTATATCCATGACTCTGTAACAACTGGGAATTGAAGTAAGGATCTTAAGTCTAGTACGCAAGTGCTCTCTCCCTCTCTCTCTGTTTACACCATTGAACTGACACTTAATAATGCATAGATATAAGTTCAGCTAATCCACAACACTGTGTGGTCATCTTTCATTGTCTTTGGTGGGTACCTTTCTCCACTAGTCATGGTTCCAGAGATTCCCACTTGAAACTAACCAATCGATCCAAAGAATTCAGTAATAATAGCTATGAACCAGATGTTACCAATAATTTCATTGCCTCTATTCTAGTATTGGAACATTTATTGAGACTTTAGTATAACCACACTCTTTGATTGATAATTCAAGGCATCTGAATAATATTTAGTCTGTCTAGTGAATATGTAGTTCTAAGGGGACTGATATTACTTGTTGAAAATGCTACTAGTAGAGTGTGATTGAGTTCCAACATCATCACTGATCATTGAATAGTAACAAATATTATTTGCTTAAACAAAGTTGGATAATGATTAAAATTGACGTCGAAGACACATGTTCCATCCTATTTAGGACTCGTTAACTGTATGGACGTACATTTCGATTGAATATTAAGATGTGATACATTGTACAATTAAACTTATGCCTTTTATACTTCATGGAGGAGCATAGGCCTAACACCATCACTCTATTGAACTCTGTCCCAAGCAATTCTTTACAATTGCTATTCATCCTTTCCATATCTGCTTCCAATTCTCAACGTACGGTATACTCTGATTTTCCTTCTTTCTGTTTGCCATCAGGATTCAAAGTTAGTGCTTGTCACGTAATGTAGTTTGATCATTTCCGTCATGTATACCCTATTCACTTCTAACGTTTTTTCCTCATTTCCCATTCAGTTGGAATTTGGTTTATTCTCTCCCACTGTATGTTGTTGTTATTGGTATCCGACCAACGGACATTGAGTATCTTGTGTAGACAGTTTTTTACAAATATTTGTACCATTTTGATGATGATTGTAGTAGTAGTTCTCGAAGTTTCAGTTCCGTACAGTGGAACTGTCTTGACGTTCGTATTCAGCATTGTGACTGGTATTGGTTGACAGATAGTTGTTTTCAGTTCTATATTTTCCTTAACTGTAGGAATGCTGTCCTTGACTTGCCAATCCTTACCTTGACGTCTGTATCAAATCATTCATGTTCATCGATGATACTGACAGGATACGTGGAAAATTTCACACCTTCCAGAGTTTCGCCATCAAGTGCGATTGGATTGGTGTTCTCTATGTTGCACTTGAGGATCTTGCCTTTTCCATTGTGTATGTTGAGGCCTATTGATGTAGAACCTGCTGCTACACTAGTTGTGTCAGTCTGCATTAGTTTATGTGTATGGGATAGTAGGGTCAGGTCATCTATGAAGTCCAAATCGTCTAGCTGCATCAAGCCTATCCATTGTATTCCGTGCTTCTCATGAGATGTCAAGGTCTTCATAGTCCACTTAACCACTAAAACAAAGAGGAAGTGTGAGAATAGACAGCCTTACCTAATTTCCATTCTCACTCAGAATGCATTTTTTGTCAGCTATTTTCTATGCATCACTTTGTAATTACACCATAGTGTCGAAGAAGTTTCCATCCTATTCTCTTATTCCCATTGTCAACTACTCCCTCATAAAATCAAGAAAGTTGATATGAAATCATTATTATGTAACATTCGCATCACATCACATCACATTCCAATCTAATCTAGTTCAATGTTCTAAAGTCATTCTATTTCTGATTAGTACAAAATGATCATTATTGATTAATAAATGACCTCAGATTAAAGATCAAGTTGTACTAATCATCATATAAATGGATCATTTCAATTCATCTTTTAAAAGAAATTTATGTGGTTGATTGAAAATTGTTCATTATCGATTTCTATTTATTGATCAAATCATAAAAATAATCTTAAAATCAATTTGTGGATCTGTAGAATGATTACAGTCGATTAGGTGTTCAAGTATAGAACTCCTAACTGCTTTCCTTTCATCCTTATAGAACCAAACTGGGATATATTCCTGTAGCCGAGTTGAAAGCGAGCGTTGGCTACGGTCAATGTACCTTGCTCCACTGTAATCATTCTATAAATCCACAATTTGATTTTAAGGTTGTTTATATGATTCATTCAAATCTACCCAGATTTCTTCGTATCCAACTCTTAAAAATAGCCGAAGCTCTAATCATCCAGGAGCTTAAACCAGAACTATGCGTACAAAAGAAGTACGTCCTGTCGTTACCGTTACCTTGGCATTAATTATTTTGATGTATTGATCAGTTTATTAATAATAAGAAATTTGATGGTTACGTAACATTTTGGATTGATTGAAGTTAGTGATTAATATCATTGGATACAGGCTTAGTGATCTAAAGGTTAAGTGTTCGTGTGTTCGAGTTCGAAGGTCCTATGTTCGTGAGTTCCTTTAGTGTGAGATTGTGGATATGTACTGCTAGTGAGTGCTGTACTAAGACGAAATGGCTGTCTAGTACTTCTAAGTTTTCAATGGTGGTCTAACATTGATCTAATCATGATCTCAATCATAACATCAACAGTCACCACAACCCGATATTGACAAGTTGCTTTATCTTGTTTTATATCACTAGCCTATCTTAGTTAAACAACTTTTGAAACTTATGTTCCACTGAAGGTCTGTTCTATTTGAGTATTAGATTTCTATGTAGTACGCATTCATAACTTAATGGTTTAGAGATTTAAAGCTCGTAGCGCACATTGTTAAAATAGGTCATCTTTATTATTAATCAGTTTTGCATCTGTGTGTAACTTTCATTTTCATGACTTCAATCACTAATGGATCTTACTTGAATCTTCCCACTAATGTTTAGGACTACGATTGATCAGTCTGTTATTGGCATATATACATATTGTACGTATTGCTTAGATATTGTTTTAATTCACAAGCATTATAAATAAAGATAGATAATTGCTAGCAACTGAATGCAGGACGTGGGTTTCGTCCTATTTGAGACTCATCATCTGGATATCAAGAAAGGACTAACCATTAAACAATCGAGTTTAAATTACTATCATACTCGAAGAAAGATTATTGCGGGCTTTGTGACAAAGAATCAAACGTCCGCCATACTTATAAATAACAAATCTTTCACAGAGCTTCAATGTAGCAGTTTTCAGTAATCATACAGACAAGAAATACGGTACATTTGTCCAACATTCGTTCTCACATAATTCTGAAAATAAGATATTCAGAATGAAAATACCCATATTAAATATTTATTTCTTATTTTAACACATAGATGTTGGTACAATGAGGCACCGAATAGATATGCGCTACACAAATCTCATTCGATATGTGTGAGGGCTGTGATACTGCCCGGGTGTCCAAACCGAAGCAGATGGTTTTCTTAGGGGGCCACTCCCCGAGCCTTCGACCTGAGGGTCTGATCCACAAGGTAGTGGAGCATCGTGAATAGATGCAGTCCCATGGAAGCCGGTGACCAACAATTGTTTCATATGCCATTTGGTCGTTTAGGATACTGGACCCCATGTTCACCATTGGTTTGGTATCCGGTTAGAGCGCCGGACATTCGCTTTTCGTCCTCTCATTTCCGTAAAAAAACACCCTCGCCACGAGAAGGCAGTGAGTAGAACTTCCCTGGCAGAGGCTGTATACGCGTGGCCATGTGGGTGAATTGCGAGGGGGAGAGCGGAATCTTTCCACTCTCGGCCATACCAGGGCATTCGGGGGCTTTTATACTGCCGCACCACGCGGGGACTTTTGCCTGCCGTGACCCCCCTGGGCTGGTCCGCCCCTCCTTAGACAACTTGGACAATCCACCCTCCGACAGGTCATCTATATCGGAGCCGTGCTTAACGTGGACGCCCGATCAACATGAGCACCCATATGCCAAACTCCCGGTCCTACGAAACCCTGCACCCTGGCCTCCAAGTAGCTAGATTACAGGCGCACGCCACGACGCCCATCCTGAAATACATATTTTTTAGCATATCATACGTTGTACCAACTTATAGGAGGTAGTATATATCGTCTCGTTTCTTTCTCTTAGCATTTAAAGATATAAAAATTTCAGAAATATGATTTCTTTTGGGTGATGGATAGTTGAATTTTGCAGATATTTTTAGATAATCAAAATTGTTTACTTATGAGTAGTTAAACGATAAAATGCGTCAAAATTCAACCGGAATCTTATGAACTGCCAGATATTTGAATGGAAATATCATCATTTATTAAATATTTATGGATTATAACACAACTTTTGCTGAAATAACTATATTCTAATTTAGGTTTTACGGTATAAAAACAGTTAACAGAAAGTTCTTTCCCTAGATTAAATCTGTTTGATGTTCATGTGATATCTACTACTTAGAAACCGCTTAATCAATACTATGTACGGTGAACAGTTTCTCAAATGAGTTGAATAGTCTCAAAAAATAGAATACGAGTTAAATTTCCAAGGGATATAACATTCATAGAAATCGTAAAATTTGAATAGTAGAAACAAATCTGAGCCATGTTGGCAGTTGAAGACTATTTGATTGGGGTATGCGTCACTATCGTAACCAATGATTGGAGACTGTGGGTAACATGGCTCAATGTATACACTTTCTGTTTTCCCTTACAATATGACATTAAAATCGCTTCATATCTATCTTTCTACGAATTAACAAGATTTTGAGTTGATAAAGAAGATTTATAACTTAACAGGATGGTTTTGTTTGTACCATTCTCTTTAAGCTGGATAGTTGATTTATAAAACATCTGCAATACTTAATCTAGACGGAGATGGCCATTACAAAATAACTTTACATATCTTTAGTCAATATTTTTCTGGTGATTAATGGTCTTATCCCTCTACTCTTTCCTGTTCTCACTTGATGATATACTTCAGTCAATGGCGAACTATATGGTTGTTCATTATGATCCATAAAATATGGTAGATTGTTACTATTTTGAATGTACATACATTCCGGCTCCTGGTACTCCTCGTAGAGGAGCATAGGCCGCCTACCAGTAATGTAACGCTAATCAATATCTAGAGAAGAGTATTCAATCAGAATACCAGTGAATATCTCTACCTCATATATACGATTTCGTCTATTGTCTAAATTCCTATGTTCTATCTACGGATACAATTCGACTGGCAAGATTTACTTTAAGTTAAGATCTAGGTCGTCTTAACTCTTAATATTCCTTTTGACACACACCTTTATCCACAATTTTGAGATTAAATCAACAAACATAGTAGAAGAGTCTTTATTATTCATGAGTTCACATACAGACATACTGGACTACATCACAAAAATGATGGTAGTTCATACATAAACAAGTAAAAAGTGTATTCTTTCCGTTACAGTAGTATCGTTGAAGATGTTAGATCCCTAGAAATTACTTAGTAAATGTTTTATTTTTGTAAGTTTATATGTCGGAAATTTGAATTTCTTGTTTTCTCGCCAGAGGTCCCCTTTTGTACCTTCAGATTGTATTTCCCACTTGGAAGGATCTTAAATGTCATTGGTTCATTGTATCTTTTAATATGCCATTTTGTGACATTTCCCAAGGACCTTTCTATACTGTATATATACGCTAGAGTTGTGCTTGTTGTTATCTGTGCTTCTAGCTGTTTCTCTCACTTTCTCTCTACGTTCTTTAAAAAAGAAACTTATTAATGGCTGATAGTGAGGTTTAGGACAAGCTTTTCATTCTATTTAGAACCCGTCAGATGAAGGTAAATACACCCTGTTATTCGAACCTAGTACTTCCTACTTCAAATGCCGAAAGTGTTATCCACTCAGTAGATAAGTGAATGACATGTTGGATATTCAAAGTGAAAAGTAATGCGAATATTGAAATAAACATTAGCAAGGGAGAGTCAATATATCTAGCCGACTTGTGAAAAATTCCACCAGTAACCATTACCCGACTCTATTGATAATCTTTGTGACTCAATTTTAACATGGGTATGCTTTGAGTTCCTGTTTAGTGTTAGTGATCCACTGCTACTAAACATGGAAGCCCGTTAAGCGAAAGCTTTTCCTATTTCCATCCACAACCATTTAAACCATTTGAACATTGAATTAATCGCTTAGAGGGCATATATTTCAGAAAACAAAAGACAGATCATTTACAGTTCATGAAGATGCTACAGGGATTTGGAGTTTGACAACTCTTTAACCAGTAACACCTTCTGCTATGAATTGTACCCACCAAGTGAAGTCAAAAATCAAAAGTGAGGAGGTTCGGAGATATATTTCATAGGCTATCATTATATCGACAATCGACTGGTCTAGACTGGTTAACGATTGTAGTAGATGTTGAGCACGGCGTTCCCACTCGTGATCTGGTGCACATTTATGACAGAGCGCCTTCAGCTAGGTGAGTTCATTAAAACTAATATGGTTAGCATCCAATAATGAAGACTTACAGAGCTATTGATTTTGGGAACATTTTTACCGTTACATCCATAAAGTGAATAGGAAGATTTAAATAACTGACACAACTAATAATCTTTATATTAAAATAATCCCTAATGAATATCTATTCAATATGTTCATTATATATTTAGATGGTGAATCCTGTGATGTTGGTAATACATTCCTACATTCAACATATTGCTGTAAAGATTCTTCTGATAAACCGGCATGTTGTAAAGAATTCCGGTAAACTATTTATTTGTTGAAACATAATTTTTGTGTATGTGTGTGTGTCTCTGTTTAGATTCATTTAAAAAGTGAACAAATATGAACCAAATGGTTGAATTCATGACTTGATTAAAGTTAGAACAACCATCGAAAACCTAGAAGCACTAGACAGCCGTTCCACCCCAGAATGTGACTCACCACAATCTAACACCGAACGGACTCGAACACATAACCTTTGCACTCGTGCGCGAACATTTAACTCCTAGATCACTGAGCCTGCATCCAACGGTGTTAATGACTAACTTCGATCGATCCATAAATGACTGCGCAACCATTTATCCCATTGTTTGAGGTAGATACCTGTCTCTAACCGACAACGATTGGAGTCCACTGGTCACAACTTATCACTAAAACTCGAAGAAATCATCTTGGAGCCAGTCATCAGTGATCACATGATGACTATGATCAGAATGAGGTTTATGGAGATTGTGTTAACTTTAATAGCTGAATCCACGAGTCGATGTGAGCTTGACCACCACTGAAAACTTTGAAACACTGGACGGCCGTTTTTTCCCAGTATAATTTCTTCAGTAGTGTGCATTCACGATCCCACGTCAAGAAGACTCAAATCCAGAACGTTCGACCTCGCCCAGGAACGCTTAACCTCTAGATTACTGAGATGGCATCTAACAATCCCATATTAGGACAAAACGGTCCTCCAGTGCTTCCAGGTTTTCCGTGGTGGTCTAGCTTTAATCGACTCATGAATTCAACCATTAAAGATAACGACAATATCCACAAAACCCCTTTCCTGAAAATATGAACCTGACTTATTGTTATCATGAAAATGCATTTATACTCTTTCCTTGAACATACTACTGAGATCTGGTTAGTAGTCGAGTTTAGTAATTTATCCAATAATAGATTGGATGCAAACTATCAGTATCGAGATTCGTGAAAACAACCAACTCAACAGTAAGACAATAATCTATGCGATGATAACTTCATATAGATATGAAGGTATTATGTTGATATCAAGTTATGAAAGTTTAGTATTCAACCGACTATATGATGATTAGTAGTCAACATTCAGGAATCCTACACTAGAAAAAAAGACGACTGTTTAATAATTGAACCAAAATAATATGAATCTGTTTGATTTCATGAGTTCTCATTAGTAGTTTACTGAACTTCGCAAAGATTACTAATCAGTCACAGTTGACTGATCACTGGGTGGAGATCATCGCAACACGGTCGATAGCATTCGATCCGCACTAAATAAGGACTTGACACACATGACATTGATCACCACCCAGTGATCAATCAATTGTGATTACATCTCAGTCCTACAGGTCAGTAGCGGCCTGGATAGCTCAGTGGTAGCGTCTCTGACTGTGAAGCTGGGTGACACGGGATCGGATTCTTCAGGGAGCACCAGTTCCCTCAACATTATAGGTACGCCTTACTGACGAGTGCCAAGTAGCATGAAACCCGAATCCAGGGTTTCCTGTCGACTACCTCCAACCACCACCTAATCTCGCTACGAATCACTTTTTATTACAATGGCTAATGTAAAATGTCACAATTTCGTTCACAGTAACTCGTATCCTGTTAATTTCAACATGATTAATTGTTCGCACAGTCCCCTTTGTGAATATAAACGCTGAAACAAACTGATAGCCAGATATAATTACCATTTGAGTTAAATCGTAATAGAGTATATCCAAAAAAATATTGTTAGATTACATAAAAATAAAACTTTGTGTTATAATTTGTGCCCTATGTCCTATTGAGTTATAACGTAATGATACCTTCAATTAGAAAACAATGATTTATTGATCGGACCAATGATGTAGATAACCCGTACGACCAGTCTAGAGCCTTTATCAGTCGTTCTTCCTAACCCAGCCCTCCCTGCCTGTTCTAATCCAGAACACCAATCCGAGCCTCTTAGATATATGAATCCATTATATTTCAAACATACTGGGTTTGTATACACCAGCCAAACAGACGACATCGTACCAATAAAATAGGAAATACACATTTGTACAAGATTTAGCCAAATGTGGCTGTGAATGAGGGAGGTACTAATCGATAGACAGGGCATAATTCAAGAATGGTAAATCGTATAATAATAGTCCATGGGTCAAAATAAAGCTCATAATAAGAGGGACATGAATATGAACAGTTTAGTTACGTAACAATTATACAATAAAAAAATATGTGGATAGTATTAGTCCAGAAATAGGTTCCGACAGTTACCATTCATAATTCTCATCGGGATATAACACTTTGAATATCACATATCATAAAGTATTGAAGGCGATTGTTGAATATGAAGTATCATAGTGACATTACACTGCTGACTTCAACAAAATGAGTTTTTAGGGTATTTAGTCAGTAATGAGATGAAAAAATATCTTGATAATTGTTATATCCCGACAAGAATAAGGAATGGTAACTTTTGAGATCCATTTATAGATCAATACTATGAGTATATTTTTATCGTATAGTTGTTATGTAACTAAACTGTCCACATTCATATTCCTCTTATTATAAACTTTATTTTGACCTATGAATTATTATTATACGATTTACCATTCTTGAATTATGCCCTTCCTATCAACTACTACCTCCCTCATTCACAGCCACATCTGGCTAAGTCTTGTACAAATGTTGTTTCCTCTTTTATTGGTACGATGTCGTCTGCCTGGTTGGTGTATAAACCCAGTATGTTTGGAATAAATAATTCTTATTGAAGAGGCTGAGATTGGTGTTCTGGACCTAACTGGCTGGGCTAGGCACAAAGCAAGGCCAATCAAGACTGTACATTACACGCACGTGTTTTATGCGTCATTGATCGGATCGATCAGTCACTGCACATTAATCGGCAGTCGCAAGTTATATCAATAATATCACAAATTGATAAAAGTTGAAAATGTTAAACATTAAATATCCAAATTAGGATTAAGCACTCTCAGACATAGTTGAATGTTTTGTGTTTCATCCCTAAAGTGTACAGTTTTGCATCGGTACTGCTAAGAAATTTTATGTAAAGATGAGACAATTGTTTAATGTTTCCTATTTAACTAAGATAATTCACTGATGCAAAGACTTCAAATATTAAAGAGTATTAAATTGGTCATTGATTGGCATAAGTGAATAAGCCCTTAATTATTGTTCCTCAGTTGTATCCATCCATGTTCAAACATAAATTCGAATCTTTAATCTCCAGATTTCGTATTAAGCGATCGATAGTTGGCATTTCAAACATTTACAACTCCTATTCTATTTAATCACATAATCTTTGTTCTGGCTAGCGTTTATTTAGCGAGTTATTTTTGTACGGGATGAGGTAGCGAACCCCATGCTCGACCCTCCTCTTTTATCCGTGCTTAGAATCGGCAGTAACTCAAGAAGAGTTACAGTACGAACGTTAAGACAGTTCTGCTATACGGATCTGAAACTTGGCGAACTACTACAACCACCATCAAAAAGATACAAGTATTTATAAATAGTTGTTTTCGCAAGATACTCAACATGCATTGGCCGGATAGCATCAGCAACAGCTTAATGTGGAAGAGAACAAACCAACATCCATCTGCAAGAGGAAATTAGGAAAAGACTTTGGAATTGGATAGGATATATAATACGAAAATCACCACACTGCATCATGAGGCAAGCACTAACTTGGAATCGTGAATGGAAGCGGAAAAGAGGAAGGTCAAAGAACACATTACGTCGAGAAGAGGAAGCAGACATGCAAAGGATCAACAGTAAGTGGAAAGAGTTGCAAGGTGGTGCCTAGGACAAGGTTGGATGGAGATTGGTGGTTTTAGGCCTATGCTCCTTCACGAGGAGTAACAGGCGTAAGTAAGTAAGCAATTAATCAGATCAATAAACTGAACAATCTGTGTTCTATTTTAACTTTTCACCTTATTAACTTATCTCATTATTATTACTTTTTATTTTCATTACAGTTGGTGGCCACTTACTGTTACAATATGTGCTTCTGTCTTGGTACTCATTATAATCCTCATCTGTTCATGTTGTTACGGTCTCTTTAGTTGTGTAATTGATATTTTATGCTGTTGTAGACGTTAGAAAACCAGTGATTAACATTTATCGAGTTACTATTTTCTCTATCACTTCACTGAATTACCTGATTCTATGTATCTATGCATGCTTGCATGTATGTATGTATGTATGTATGTATGTATGTATGTATCTGTGTGTGTGTGTGTTTCATGGAACCATTGAGATTTGAGATTTCCTTTTTTTCAAAACAAAATTCTATCATGTTTTAATTGTTTGTTTTCATTTATTGTGATACTTACTCAATGGAACAGATAAAATATGAATGTTTATCTGTACAATTATTGAATTGAGTTTTTATATGAACTATTAAATACATTTGTCATTGAAAAGTAACTCCAGTGTTTTATTGGGAATCAGAAGCTAGGTCATCATGGAAAACTTGGAAGTATTGAACGGTCATTTTGTCCTATTGTGGAATTCATCAATAATGCGTATCCACGATCCTGTCCCATGGGATTTGAACCTAGATCACAGTTTAAATCACTATCCTACAGACTAGTTTTGGAATTGCTGGATGTAAATGTACAGTATTGTTAGTTAGTTTTGTAATAAACACAAGAGTGTAATCGTTTGTTTCAATCCAACAACTTAAGGAAACAACCTTCAGATTATAATATTTTTGTAAAACATTTTAACTACTTGTAAGTAGTTTGACTTTTTGTTAAAAATTAAGTAGACGTTGAGTGATTATGGAGATGTGGTTGAATTGGTTGTAGCTAGCCAATAACTTCTCACTGCATGTGCAATTCTAAGAAATCTCATACTAATAAGAATAAGATATCTAGCCCTTCAATGGTTGTCCAGCTAAAGCGATTACCTTGTGCTGAATTTCATATAAATTGTATGCTTATTTTCTTTACTGAATTAAAGCGTATGCGTAGTTGAATAGAGAGTGTAATGTATTTATCATCTTTAAACAACCTCAACAAACCTTAGAAACTGAACACATTATTATTGACAGTGAAATTCAGGAAAATACTGAGCTGTCACTATGGTTTTAAGTCCATGGTTATTGTATTAAAGTTCTCGAAATAAAGGATGAGTATGCTATGAGATTACAACTTCAATGTTATACACGCGGGAATTTAAAAAGTCTGCTAAATTGATAGAAAATGAATAAGTAGAGGACATAATCTATAAAATGAAAGGATTTTGTAGTTAATTCTAAACTTTTTAATATTGATGAAGGTAGTTTCATGTGTTGTGGGAGAGAGCAAACCAACTTCCAGATAATGAGGAAATTAGGAAACGATGTTGAAAGTGGATAGAACATATATGATGGAATGTTGAAGGGGAACAGAAAATAGGAAGGTCAAAGAACAATCTGGGTGTATAATTGAAGGCAGACATGAAAACGATGCATAACAACTGGAAAGGACTTCCCAGTACATGCTTGAATAGAGAATGCTGGTGTGCAGCCTTTGCTCATTCATGAGGAGTAACAGGCGTAAGTAAGTAGTTTCATGTGTGCACTTGTTACTGTAAATCAGATTGAACAGATTACTTCTGCATATGGAAGCAACTAGGGTCCCGTTCAGTCGTTTAATCAGTATACAAGGATTCATAAGCTCGAATTAGTTGGTATAATCTTATACAATGAAATATTTTCCTTCAGTTAACTCTTTGTTTTCATGATCTTACAACAGTTCATATGTTTTTTTATGATAATAAACAATTGTAATTAGAAAGGCGTTTGTGGAGATTTTGATAATTTTGATAGGACGAAAAGGCCGTCCACTGCTTCCAGGTTTTCAATGGTGGTCAAACTTACATCGACTCGTCAATTCAACTATTAAAATTAACACAATCTCCATAAACCTCATTCTGATCATAATCATCATGTGATCACTGATAACTGGCTCCAAGATGATTTCTTCGAGTTTTAGTGATAAGTTGTGACCAGTGGACTCCAATCGGTATCGGTTAGAGATGAATGGTTGAGCAGTCATTTATGGATCGATTGAAGTTAGTCATTAACACCGTTGGATGCAGGCTCAGTGATCTAGGAGTTAAACGTTCGCGCACGAGTCCGAAGGTCATGTGTTCGAGTCCGTTTGGTGTTAGATCGTGGATGTTCAGTGTTGAAGAGTCCCATACTAAGTTGTAACTGCCGTTTAGTATTTCTAGGTTATCCATGGTTGGTCTAACTTTAATCGACTCATGAATCCACGTAATAAAATAACTACGAATTCGAGTTGAAGCTCATTTTTATCAAGAAATCAAAAGAGGAATCAATAAAAATGTGGGAACATCGAAGGTATGTCTCACACTAATCGGGAATGAAAGAGATACCCACCGATAGAATTAGATGGTATTGTGCAGTATCATTGAATTAACCACGGAATATGACTTCAGTGGTTTAAAAATAACGCCTGAGTGATAGTTTTGTAAACATATACAGATATCAATAAACCTTAATCAGAATTATCAGTATACGCTAACCAGAATAGAGTAAGTAGGTAGGTGATTCATTGTTGATGTCCTAATCTCTACGAGATGTAACAAGCATAACTATGTAATCAATATTCACTCCTATACTTAAACAACAGAACAATATGAACCGTTAATAGTTAGTACTTAAAAAGTGATAACATTCATGTTGTGTATAAAATTATCATTTCTCTTTTGAAACATAACAAACTACAGTGAGACTTTAATTTATGGACGATGCTGGAACGATGCCAATATGACCTTGTGAGTGTTGACCTAGTTAGTATGGTTAAATGATGGTTATAAACCTGTGTGAAGAATAAGGAGTCTATAATGTACAATTGATGGTTAAGGTTAGGAATTCGATTTAGGATTTTCATCATGAACTGACATTGTCTAAAGTTCCATGAGGCTATTTAGACAAATGGAAGTTTGATTTTTGCGCCATAATCCAAGACCTATCATCTTAAACCGTGATTGGCTAGTCCATAAATTATAATCTCGCCGTTATGCATCAAATTACTTGGATTCTGGGATAGACAATAAATACTATTGAGTATTCATACTCTTAATTACTTACTTACTTACGCCTCTTACTCCTAATGGAGCATAGGCCACTGACCACCATTCTAAAACCCACTCTGTCCTGGGCCTTCCTTTCTACTTCTATACAATTATTGTTCATTCTCCTCATGTCAATCTCCATTTCTCGACGTAATGTGTTCTTTGGTCTTCCTGTTATCCTTTGACATCAAGGAGTCTATGTGAGGGCTTGTCTTGTGACGCAGTCGGGTGCTTTCCTCAGTCTTTGCCCTATCCACTTCCAGCACTTCTTCCTGATTTATTCCTCCAATCGAATCTGGTTTGTTCTCTCCCACAGTACGTTGTTGCTAATAAAGCCCGGTCAACGGGTCCGAAGTATTTTGCGTAGACAACTGTTGTTGAACACTTATATCTTCTGGATGATGGCTTTCGTAGTTCTCCAGGTTTTCGCCCCATTCAGTAGAACTGTATTGATATTCGTATTGAAAATCCTAACCATGGTGTTGGTTGACTGAGAGTGTTTTGAGTTCCAGATGTTCCTCAATTGTAAATATGCTGCTCTTGCTTTGCCGACCCGCGCCTTCACATCCGCATCAGATTCACCGTGTTCATCAATGATGCTGCCCAAATATGTAAAGGTTTTTACATCTTCCAAATCCTCTCCGTCAATTGTGATTGGGTTGGTGCATGCCTGCTTTTCCCTTTGTGTACATTGAGACCTACTTCTGCATTTGTTGTTGCGTTTACGATAGAAGAGCCAGATCATCTGAGAAGTCTAGATCGTCCAGCTGCATCCTAGATGTCCACTGTATCCCGTGCTTCCCTTCAGATGTTGACGTCTCCATGATCCAGTCGATCACCAGGAGAAAGAGAAAGGGTGAGAGTAAGCAACCTTGCCTGACACCGGTCTTTACGTCGAACGAGTCTGTAGATTCTCCTCCATTGCACGATTTTGCAGTTTAATCCATCATATGAATTCTGTATGATATTGACTATCTTCTCAGGTACGCCGTAGTATCGAAGAAGCTTCCATAGTGTTGTTCTGTCCAAGCTGTCAAATGCTTTTTCGTAGTCAATGAAGTTGATGTAGAATGATGAATTCCATTCAATTGATTGTTCCACAATGATCCACCTGGAGTCCCTCCGGTCGCTACTGCCGGTCCCAAGCCCGGATAAAGGAGGAGGGTTGAACATGGTGTTAGCGACCCCATCCCGTAGAAAACTAACTCGCTAAAAAAACGCTAACCTGAAAAAATCCATACTCTTACCATAGATGTATTCATTAATTGTCTTCAACTAGATCTTCAGTTTCATAATTATCTTATACTATTTTTACTGAATAAACTCATTGTTTCTTCTGTTATCATACTGTCATTTCAATGACTACTGATACTGTCGAGGTGTGTACTACTGATGTCGAGAGATATAAGTAGTATATATAATCAGTTGAAAGTCAAAAGTCTGGAAGCAAGAAGATTTAGAAAATCAAAGAAAAGAGAATGATCAGTGTGGAAACGAACTGACCCATATATGTTCCAGATTCTACGTTTCAAATGACTGACTGACCGACTGACTGACATTTATCCTACAGTACACGTTTATATCACATTGAAATGCAAGAGTATTAAGACATTAATACATGGCTAATGAATGTAGAATACATACATATTATTCTATAGAAGTCTTCTAATCATGTACCACTTTGAATCGAAATAGGAAATAAAGAAACGATCAGGTGATCAACAGTCTTAAATGTTGATTTTATAAGTTAATCATTTTTCTTCTCCATTAAATGATATATGAAAAATTAAAACAATGTACTGAATACACTTACCTACCTACCCAGGCCTGTTACCCCTCGTGAAGGAGCATAGGCCGCCCACCACCACTCGCCATTCAACCCTGACTTGGATAATCCTTTCAAATTCTTTCTAGTTGCTATTCGTCCTTTTTATGTCTGCTTCCGATTCTCATCACAGTGTGTTCTTTGACCTTCCTCTTTTCCACTTCCCTTCAGGATTCCAAGTAAGTGC